ACCTTCATTTCCCCACATCCAATTTCTAATCTTCTTTTGCTTTCTTAAAACTTATCAAAAACACGTTTAGGAGCAAACTTTATACAGGTAGACCTCGACTTACAATGATTCATTTAGTGGCCATTACAATGGCACCAGTGATGGGATATTTAAAAATTTACTGCCATTCTGTGGGCATGGCTTGGTGAGCATGGTGTTGCTTGGTGGGCTGGCTTGGTGGGCGTGGCAGGGGAGAGTTATTGCAAAATCTCCATTCCCTCCCTACTCCTGGGGGAAGGTTACTGCAAAATCCCCTCCCCGCCCCACCCCACTAACCTGCTTTTCAGCTCCGTTCTCCTGTGCAGGGCAATCAAAGAAGACCCAACCGATCAGCTGGGACTCAGGAGGCAGAGAATAGATGGGGGCAGGGCCAGTCAGAGGTGGGATTTGTTGGTTCTCCGAACTACTCAAAATTTCTGCTTCTGGTTCTCCAAAACTGGTCAGAACCTGCTGAATACCACCTCTGAACGTCTGAATGGCATTGAAAAAAGCGACTTACGACCACTGCAGTATCCCCATGGTCACCTGATAGAAATTCTGACACTTGGCAACTGGTTTATATTTACAATGGTTCCAGTGTTCCCGAGAGTCTCCTTTTGTGACCTTCTGTCAAGCAAAGTCAGTGGGGAAGCCAGACCCACTTAACAGCCTGTTTTTAACTTAACAACTGCAGTGATTCACTTAACAACTATGGCAAGGGAAGGGGTGTAAAATGGGGCAAAAAACTCACTTAACAAATGTGTCACTTAGCATCGTACATTTTGGACTTGATTGTGGCCGTAAGTCAAGGACTACCTGTACTGCATTTAGACCAATAGATCATGGATGTTGTTTTCTCTTCAAGATATTCAACAGGACAGGCAGTTGCACTAAAAAAAAAAAAGATAGCTGAAGGCCCTCGCATTTAATACCCTCATTTGCTTTAGAATTGGATGAACAGTTGAAGGTAGAAGAGAAGGAAATAAGGGAGGCTCAAGGGAAATATTGGGCACTGAAAATAACTATTGCCAGTTCTGGATTTAATTATAGGTTATTAATTATATTTTTCCCTTCCTTCCAGTTTACATTGGATCATTACCCATCATTGTATTCTCCTGGTGACAAAAACCCTCCGTGTAATGACAAGCTGGGCTGATGTATGACTCAAGTCAACCAATGAATATGCGGAATAAAAGTTTAAAATTTATACTGAACTATAACTTAAAAGAAAATTTCTATAAGATGATGATGTATCATTGGTGTTTAACTCCAGATAAGTTGTCAAGAATGTATAAAGGCATTTCAAATGAATGTTGGAAATGTGAATGTAAAGAAGGGACTTTTTTTCATTTATGGTGGACGTGTGATAAAGCAAAGAAATATTGGAGTAGGATACATATCTTAATACAGAAGTTTCTTAAAGCGTATATAACAAGAAAACCAGAGACTTTGGGGGTGGGGTTAGTTGGAAAAGGGCCTTGGAAAAAAAATTCGTAACTTTGATATACGTTGATGGCAGCAAGATTACTTTTTGCACAGAAATAGAAGGTCACCTCAATCTCCACAATGGACCAACAGCTGCAAAAATTGATGGGAATTAGCAGAGGTGACTAAATTGACTGTTTGGTTAAAAAATACAAATACTTTTATTTCTACTTGGAAACCACTTCTGAACTTTGTGCTTGAAGTGGAGGAAAAAAAATGAAACTGATTTTGAGTTTTACCGATTAGATAAATGGTTATAGAAATGGCTAATTTATACTATTATGGAAAAGTAAAAAGTTGAGGTTAATGCACCAAAGGGAGTCGGAAGTCAGTCCCTTCTCTTTCTTTTTTTCCTTTCTTTTCCTCACTTTTCCCTTCCCTATTTCCCTATTTGCTTTTATATTTTCTTTGTATGCTATCCCAAAGATGCTTTTTTTCAAGAGGCAACTGGGCTTTCTGGTTTTTTCTTTTGAGGATGTTTCGCTTCCCATCCAAGAAGCTTCTTCAGCTCTGACTGGATGGTGGGGAATGATTCAGTCAGAGCTGAAGAAGCTTCTTGGATGAGAAGCGAAACACCTTCAAAAGAAAAAACCAGAAAGCCCAGTTGCCTCTTGAAAAAAGCACCTTTAGCACAGCCATGACCTGGAAGACTGAGAATTTCCACAGACTTTGTATGCTATATTATATAAACGAAGAAAAACTGTTTAACCAAAAACAACAACAACCAGTGAATGTCTGAATCGAAGTCCCCGCATCCCATTCATCCCCCTACACAGCCAGGCGTAAACATCCCAACTTGATAGACTTAATTTCTTCCATTCCTCTTCAATTCAATTTCAATATTTTTTTTAAAAAAATAAAATCATTTAAAACCGGTCCACAGCAAAACCAACCCCCTTTTTCTCCCCCGGCTCCCCCCCCCCCCCCCCGCCCCCTCCCACCACCCCCTTCCGCGCGCTTCATTCTGTTTATGTCGTGCCCTTCGGCCACGCCCCCTGCACGTGCCCCGTGGGCGAGGAAGGGATGTGGGGAGGGGGAAGAGTCGCGATTTCCTATTGGTGCGCAGTGTCGGCTTCTCGCCGTGACGTCAATCCTGCGCGACCGTCGCGAGGCTCTCCAGCATCATCCGAGCGGGCCTAGGCAACCGGCGGCGTGAGGGAGCTAAGCGATGGCCGCTTAGGACCATTGGAGGCGGAGGTGGCTGTTTTCTGAGCGAGGAAGAGGAGGAGGAGGAGGAGAAAGAAGGAAGGGAGCCTCTTCGGCCGCCAGGATGCTTGAAGGGCTGAGGAGGCTTCAGCTGCTCCGGTGGCAGCAGCAGCGGCGACCGGGGTGAGCGAGATCGAAGACCGCCGCTTGCGGGGTCGGGGCTCTCAGCCTATTGGTGCCCTGAAGGGCCGGCCGAGGGAGCTGAGGCCGTGGCCCCTGGGCTCGCTTTCTCTGGGCGCGGGTCATCCTAGCCTGGTTTGGCTTCTGGGTCCTTCCCAGGGAGGGCGGGAGGGCGGCAGTTTTCACCCAACAGTAGTAGTACTTTATTGTCATTGCACCTCGTGCAACGAAGTTAAATGCCATCTTACATAAGAAAACTATAAAAATAAAATACAAACATACATCCTTCACATTCTATGTGATTGAATTAAAAAAAACCCTGATATTGCACTATGCAGTAGAAAATAGAGCTACTGCCCTGGGATAGGAGCTGTTTTTCAGCCTGCTTGTGGTTGTTTTTATTATCCTGTTCCGTCTGCCAGGTGGTAATAGTTCAAAAAAAAAGGGGGTGCCCAGGATGAGATGGATCTTTGAGAATGTTTTGAGCTTTCTTAAGGCAGCGGGAGCTCTAAAGCTCTTCCAAAGAGGGGAGAGGACAGCCAGTGATCCTCTGGGCAATAACGTTAACCCTCTGGAGCGCTTTCCTAGCTGCCCGTGTGCAATTGGCAAACCATACAGAGGTGCATTTCATAAGCTAAAGTGCTCTGGGACTTCAGGCTACAGACAGACAGACACCTGCTACATAATAGCCCAGGCTTAACAACTGCAGATAAGTTAGATGAAAAGAAAATGCTGGATGCTGGATGTGGCAGCACCTGGAAAGAGAGAGAGAGCAGGACACAGGTAGTCCTCGACTTACGACCACAATTGAGCTCCCAATTTCTGTTGTTCAGTAAGACATTTGTTTTGTCCCCCTTTACGGCCTTTCTTGCTACAGTTGTTAAGTGAATCACTGCAGTTGTGTAAGTAAGTTAATATAAGTTAGTAACCCCAATTTGGCTTCCCCCATTGACTTTGCTTGTCGCAAAAAAGGATCACTAAATCTTGGGTCACAGCAATGGTCATAAATAGGAGTCAGTTGCCAAGCATTTGAATTTTGATCACATGAATCATGGGGATGCTGTAAAGGTCATAACTGCAAAAAACTCATGTTTTTCAGTGCCTCTGCAACTTTGAACAGTCACTAAATGAACTGTTGTAAGTTGAGGACTACTTGTAGAAGAAAGAGCTGGAGAAGCGAACAAAATGCAAAGAGCTGCAAATAGAAATAGGGCTGTTGTGGCAAAAGCAAGCCAAGATAATACGTATAGTGAGTCACATCTGCCCATCCCAGGTCTTTGGGAAGGGCTCGATAGGCAGGCAAAAATGCCATATCTGGTCTGAACATCTGGCTGACTGTGCAACAGACCAATAATAATAACAAGGTTCTTCTGTGTGAAAACCTCTGGCTGCCTCTCTCCCACTGTTTGAAGTTGCCTTGGAGGTATACACATATAAATCATGATATTTAAATGTAAACCTTTTTAATAATAATTAATTTTATTCATTTAGATAATATATACATTTTAACAATTAAATGTATATACCACCCAACTTCCAGAAGGTTTCAGAGAGGCAGCTGGAGGTTTTTACACAGGACTTTAATTAAAAATATCAAAAAGGATTTTTGGAAGGTTTTAGAAAATGAGCTGGCTAATATTTTACGGGACTTGATCATAATATTCCTGATTTAAATTACTGGAAAAAAAGTTTATAGAGTATAAAACAACATGGCAAGAAACATGAAAGAATCGTGGAGAAAACCAGCCTAGATGGGAACTAGGGAAAAGAAGAAACTTAGGGTTTATTGGTAATTAGATGTTAATCAGATTTAGAAACTACCCATCTCTGTCTCTCCCTCTGTATACAGGTAGTCCTCAGCTTATGACACAATTAACTCCAAAATTTCTGTTGCTAAGCAACTGTTGAGTTTTGCCCCATTTTATGAATTTGCCGCAGTGGTTACATATGAATCATCACAATTATAAAGTTAGTAATAATTGTTAAGTGAATCTGTCTTTCCCATTGACTTTGCTTGTCAGAAGGTTGCAAAAGATGATCCCATGACCCAGGGACACTGCAACCGTCACAAATTCCAAGGGTCTGAAGTTTGATCATGTGACCACAGAGAATCTGTCATAAGTCGCTTTTTTCGGTGCTGTTGTAACTTTGAATGGTCGCTAAATGGTTGGTTGTTAGTCGAGGGCTACCTGTATTCCTTGTATGCAGAGCACAACTTTTAAGACTGTTGTAATAACAGGGAGAGGTTTCTGGGAGGGCTGCCTTTAGGCCTGTTTCTTTAGTCAAAATACTGCTGACAAAGCTTTTTTTTAAGAGGAAAGAATATTAAACAGGTCTGTCTTTAGCAGTCCAGCTACTTCTTGCTCTGTATTGTTAATCATTAGTCTTAAAAGTGTCTGCTGTTGCTAAAATACTTTTTTTGATGGTGCTGTTGCATTTTCAGAATGTGAGTTGTGTTTTTCCTATATAGAAAAATGCAAATTGTTTTGTGACAAGTGAACGGGAGGAAAACTTGGATGTTCCATATCTGTCCTATTTTAGACCTTAAACCTCTGAATATGTTGTCTTCGTATTTTTCAGATAACTTATAACAGAAGTCAAAAGCCTTGTGTATTGCTGCATGTTTACTCTTGCCTTGGTTGATGACTTGAAACACTACTAAAATGCACCAGAAGCTCTTGAAGAGCGCTCATTACATTGAGCTGGGAAGTTATCAGTATTGGCCTGTTCTCGTTCCTCGAGGGATTCGTTTATACACCTATGAACAGATTCCTGTGTTCCTTAAGGATAATCCTTACATCACTGACGGCTACAGAGCATACCTACCTTCTAGGCTGTGTTTAAAAAGGTTTGGAGTTGATCGAAATGGTTCAAAGTGAAATTAATCAACTAGCCTGGATTGAAGCAGTGCCTATATGAAACAATGAAATGTTTTTATTTTGAAACTGCTTGGTTTATTTATATTTCTGTCCTGCTTTCTGCAAATTATAACCAAAGCGACTAATGAAGCAAGGTGCATTGACTTAATTTAAATGTTCTTTTCTCTGTGTGAAACACTACTTAATTCTGTCTTGCTGGTTATCCTTTGAAACTTTGAGGCACAAATTTCTTCTTGTCAGTCCCTTTTTCCGGAATCTAAACAGACAAACTCCACCGTGCAGTTTCTCAGGCCTAAGTGTATCCATACAACAGCAGAAGTAAATGGCTCTCCTAATAATCTATGAGCAGTGAGACTAATTTGCATGCGGTCCATTACTTTAGGGCTGGAATCCCTGATTAGATTGAGGCATTGCTATTGTCCAAAGCAAAAATATTAACAGAAAACAAAGTTATGAATTGTCACAGCAACCATTTTCATGCACATACGATGGCAATATAAATATTGCAAATGCGAAAAAAATCTGAATACAGAACGGAAATATGTGATCAATTTATTTCAATTTTGTATTTTTCCTGAGGAAATATGCTGATTCAGGTTCAGCATAAAATGCCCTTTTCAGGATAGACAGACAGACGGACAGACTCACTCACTTACTCACTCACCGATGTAATACCAGTATTACTGACTAGCAGAGTTGAACCACATACCTATGCTGCTATTAGTCAAAATTATTTAAAACTAGTCAGACATTATTGTTTTTTATCTTTTTTTTTTCCCCCAGTCTGTTCGTTTTGTCCAATGAGACAATCAATATCTGGAGTCATTTGCTGGGCTTCTTTCTCTTCTTCACTTTGGGCATATACGATATGACTTCTGTGTTGCCTTCTGCGAAAGCTTCCAGAGAAGATTTTGTTATTTGTTCTATTTGTCTTTTTTGCTTTCAGGTAAGTTCTTTTGCCTATGGCTACCAAACTTTGCAAGGAATGGGTATATCAGAAGGACTGATACAGAATAGAGCTTGCATTCTCTTCCGAGGTGAGGCTTTTGCCTCATTTATTTTAATCAAAACATTGTGATAATTTACGGTCCTTTAATTGTAGATTTCATGGAACAATGTTATCATCTTATTCTGAAATCAAGGTAGCATCTCCAATTGATGGTCTCCCTTCCTAGTCTCAGTGCATTTCTATTTCATTAGGAATTTTACTAGCCTGTAGAATTAGTACATAGTAATAGAATTTTAGGGGAATCGCATAAATCCTAATTTGACTTGTTTTCAATTTTCCTGCTTAGTCCATTAGTATTTTCCTATAGTTGTTGCTAATTATTATTGTTAGCTTTCCTCTAGATCCCCTTATATTGGAAGGTAGTAGTGTAATAAATAAAAGTGTTTCCATCACTCTTCCTATTGTAAGCAGGTTGAGTAGAGTAAAGCCAGATATTTCTGCCATGCTTATTTTTTAGTTTCAACTAGAAACACACAAGCTCCTTAGACTGCTGCATGCTAAAACCTAAAAAAAAAAAAACCCAAATCAATTGTATAAAATTAATGTGAATTTGTTTCAATGTTTTTGTAGGTCTGTATGCTTTGCTCAGTAGGATATCACCTCTTCTGCTGTCATCGCTCAGAAAAGACCAGTCGAAGATGGATGGCATTGGATTATGCAGGAATTTCGATTGGGATCCTAGGCTGTTACGTGTCAGGAGTGTTTTATGCATTTTACTGTAGTAATGTAAGTTGGGCACAATGCTAGCTGTTGTATACCTTAAATTCTGCTGGGGTTGTCCTCTCCCAAATAATTAAGTCTCTCAAATAATTAAGTACATCTAATTGTTCATTTATTCAGAATTCCAATCTGTAGTATAATTATATCCATGTGACCCTCAACTCCATCTTTTCAGATAAACAAAATATGAAAGTCTTTCTTAGCAGCAGGGACGGGATGTGTACAGCTAGTGCAGATTTTGAGAAAGCTATTTCAACAAACAGCAGCATCTGAAATGGACTAGCTCACTGCTGAATGATCAAAACTGGAATACAATCTGTTAAAATTGCAGAGAAGAGCAACCAAGATGATTAGGGGACTGGAGGCTAAAACATAAGAATGGTTGCAGGAACTGGGCCTGGCTAGTCTAGGTAAGAGAAGGACTAGGGGAGACATGATCGCAGTCTTCCAACACTTGAGGGGCTGCCACAGAGAGGAAGGGGTCAAGCTATTTTTCAAGGCACCCGAAGGCCAGACAAGGAATAATGGATGGGAACTGATCAAGGAGAGAAGCAACCTGGAAATGATAAATTTTCTGGCAGTGAGAGCAACCAACCAATGGAACAGAAGTTGCCTTCGGAAGTCGTGGGAGCTTCACCACTTGAGACCTTCAAGAAGAGATTCGACTGCCATTTGTCAGACATGATGTAGGGTCTCCTGCTTGGGCGGGTGGTTGGACTACAAGGTCCCTTCCAACCTTGTTATTCCGATATTCTGTTAAAATTATTCTGTCAATATTTGGAAATGCAAATAGTACCACCTTCATTTATATAGTTGTTCCCTATGTTTTGGAAAAGCAGCTTAAACAGACATTCCCGCATTGGCTGAAATTCCCGCGCAAGTACCTAGGTTTCTTTACATAGATCTCCCTTTTTCCTCCCCCCATTCTAGTACTGGCGTCAAGTATACTTGATCACGGTGCTTGCTATGATTTTGGCAGTATTCTTCGCTCAGATTCACCCCAATTACCTCACTCAGCAATGGCATCGACTGCGCTCGGCCATCTTCTGCTCTGTGTCAGGCTACGGGATTATTCCCACCATCCACTGGATTTGGCTTAACGGTGGCATCACGGCATCTATTGTACAGGTAAATCTAGAATAGTTACCTGTTCCGATACATTTGCTTGAAAGATGGTTGTATGAACCTTATGGAGGCCTGTTTCCCATTATTATTGGTTTAGGGCCGTGCTTAGTGCTTAGCCCGCTTTGGTTAATCTTGGGAGACTATACAGGTTGACCTCAGTTAGTACTTGGATGCACAACCATTTGGGATTAGGTGGCTTCTTCCTCTTCCTCTTCCTCCTTCTCCCATATCCATCACTGGACATTGGCGATCCTATTTTTACCAACAGCCACACGAAAAAGTGCTGCTGAGTTTTGTCCAAACCAGTCCCTTAGATTTTGAAGCCCTGGTGTTCCTCTTTTCTGCCTGGACCTCGTTTGCCTTCGATCTTTCCCTGGAGGATTAAATGAATTTGGGATTTGGCTAAATTAGGAAATTGTGAGGAAAAAAATCTTGGAAAGCCAAAAAAGGGAAGATACTTTCAACATGCTGCCAAGAAACTGCATTTTATTTGTTTGCTTGTTTTATAGTTGCACATTTCATGTGGTTCTGGGCAGCTTACAAAGTTAAAAATGCTATTTCCCCCCCAAAAATATATCTGCTAAAGTCATCAAACCATAAAAAATACAAACTAATAAAATTATTTTTAAAAAAAAACAATCTGGGAGAACATTTATTTGTTTTCATAATTGCACTGATGCCATTTATCAGTTGAGCTGGTCATTTTTATTATACCCACTTTCTTTTATTACCAGTTAAAGCTTCCAAGTGTGAGGACATTCAGTATTTAAACTTGCTTTCCATTTTTACAGCCTCACTTTTTTTTTTTTGCTTTGTATTGAAATTAGGGTATCTGAAGAAACATGGGAATATTCACTTAACAAAGTAGTGAGTGAATACATTTGTTGTTGCCAGGGTGCTACTGCAAAGCAATAGCCACTTACTGAAAAATCAGATGCTTTTTTTCCTTTGCAAATGTTTTTGTTTAGGAAAAGTTCAGTAATCCACACTGTAAGTACACTGCATATAATCCTTCATTTTGAATGAAAAGCATAAAACATGAGAAAATGAACTGGGTAGATTTTGCAAGTCATCCATTTTTTTTATAGTACTTGAAATCTGTTGAAAATGATTACTATATTCTTTCTCGCATGTCAAGAGATCTGAAACTTGGATGCTTTCAGTGATTACAGTTCATTTTTTTATTTTCCTTTCTCAGGAATTCGCTCCCCGAGTTATTGTGATGTACTTAATAGCCATCATAGCGTTTCTCTTCTATATTTCTAAAGTCCCAGAAAGGTATTTTCCAGGTAAATATATTCCTGATCATTTTCTAGCTGGATAAAAGGTGCACGCTGTAGTTTTGACTGCTGTTGTGATCTTGTTTTAGAGTGAATCTTCGAAGAAATATTGAAAACTCCCTGGTTGGGCACCTAAATTATGTAGTATTGTATTTAGGGTACATGTCTTTAAATAACAAGAGGCCTAGTGCAGTATCAGTGTTAGTGCTGTGAAAATATTTAGCATGATATGCATCTTAACATTTCCATAACTTGAAAAATAGTAATAACATTGCTGCACGTGATTTTTTAAATAGCAATAGTACTTAGACTTATATACTGTTTCACGTGCTTTACGCCCCTTTCTAAGCAGTTTTACAGAGTCACCATATGGCCACCAACAATCTGGGTCCTCATCATTTTACCCATCTTGGAAGGATGGAAGGTTGAGTCAACCTTGAGCCAGTGAGAATTGAATTGCCAAACTGCAGGCAGTCGGCAGTCAGCAGAAGTAGCCTACAGTACTGCATTCTAACCACTGCGCCACCGAGGTTCTGCCTAATATCAAATTGAGAGTTAACAATAGCCATCCAGACATACCTGGAAGCTCAGGAACCAGACATAAGTGAGACGGTCCTTTCCTGACCTCCAAAATGCAATATTCTCTTGACTTTCTGGGCTGGAAAGATCCTTCATTTCCAGTTCAGCCAAAGAAAAAATATATTGGAATGGCTGTCTCTTGACATGCATCTTCATCTGGTTGAACAAAACGCATGTTCCTTTCCTCCCTTCTGATTAAATTGGTTTTCTCTTTTCTCTTCTTCCACAGGACAGTTAAACTACCTCGGCTCCAGCCACCAACTTTGGCACATTTTTGCTGTGGTGATGTTGTATTGGTGGCACCAATCTACAATGTACATCATGCAGTATAGACACAGCAAGCCTTGCCTGGATTAGAGTAATGCACCCAAGTGCGTCAAAGTAAGGCACTCTCGGTATCAGAGAACTGAAGAACTAATAGCCCAGCGGCCCCCAAATTTTTGGGCACCAGGGACCAGGTCCGTGGGGAGAGGTTTTTCCATGGACTGCAAGGGGCGTGGTTTTGTGTGCTGCTTGCATCCCGCAGATGGGGCTTCGCTTGTTTGAGCAGCCCGATTTCTGGCGTTCTGCAACCCGGTGTTTGGTCCATGGACCGGGGGCTAGGGAGTCCTATTCTTGCCTGTTCTGGGATGGAGAGTCCCACCATTGCAATGAATTTGATCTCTTGGAGAGCAACTGTTCAATTCCTAGCCTGGAATTTCCCTTCACAGTGAACCCCAGATCTATCAAATTACTTGTTTCCATTGTCAGCCCATTTCTCCTCTTGTCCTTCGATGTTCTGGGCATCATTCCAAGTCAGTATTATGATTGCCAACTGGTAATGTCTCTCCTTAATTTCAGATAGATTTTTCTTTTTCCTGGCCCTGTGAAATTGTGACTAGGAGAGCCAGTGTAGTTGTGGGACCAGAGATATCCAGGTTCAGCTCCCCACCTGATCACAGAGTTCACTAGGAGAGTTTAAGCTAGACGGGAGTTCAACCTTGGCAACTTTAAGACTTGTGGAGTTCAACTCCCAGCATGACTGGCTGGGGAATTCTGGGAGTTGAAGTCCACAAGTCTTAATGTTGCCAGTGTTGGACTCCCCTGGTTCATGCTATTCATTATCTTTTAGGCCAGCCTATACCCCCGGACGATGAGAGGATAAAAGCAGGGGAGAAGGCTTTAATCTTTGAAGAAAATGCAGTATATATATATATATATATATAGAAGGAAAGCTTTTATGATACCTTTTACTCTTACAGGCATTTTGAAAGTTTTTCTTCATTAGATTATATCCTGTCTATTCTTCAGGAACTCCAGGCAGTGAATACAGGTAGTCCTTGACTTACAATTGGGCGGAAAATTTCTGTTGCTAAGTGAGGCACTTGTTAAGTGAGATTTGCCTCATTTTACAACCTTTTTTGCCACAATTGTTTAGCGAATGACTGCACTTGTTAAGTTAGCAACACAGTTGTTAAGCGAATGTAAGGCTTCCCCACTGACTTTGTCGGAAGGTTGCAAAAGGTGACTCCAGGACACCACAGTCATAAATATGAATCAGTTGCCAAGCAGGTGTTGTAAGGCACGGGCTACCTGTACTGCTTTTTCCCACAACCTGTCCGACCTCAGCCAGTGAAGTGACTTAAGAGCTGTTTGGTTTAAGGGTGGGATTGAACCGGCATTCTTCCATTCTTGTAATTCCTCCCAGGCCAACTTTTCAAACATCACATTCTTCCAGCGGCCAAACATTTGAAATTGATTCCATAAATTGTGCCGTAATCTTGTTGGTTTGCAATTGCTGTGAAGTCAGGTGGATGCTGCAGGGGAAAAGGTTGCCAGCGGTGTATTGAAATATTGTCTTTATAAGGAGGAAATAAGGTTTTTATTTTAACCAGAGACGACGATAATGGGGGGAATATTAGATCCCTTTGTGTTTAAGGGACGGCCATCTTTTTTATTTTGTGAATCCTGAGATGGCAACCTCCCCCCTACTAGGAAAGCTCTCTTGGTAGAAGTTCTGCTCGCAATAATTTAAAATGAGTTTTGTATCATTTTTCAGAATTCTATCCTCGCACCGAAGTTTGGACATGTCTGCATTTCATGCTGATTTTAGGAGCAACAGCCACAGTTCTCATTGAATCCTCTTTCTTTTAGGAATAATATGTTAATAGGCACTCCTGATATCATTGATCTCCACCAGCTGAGTAACTCTTGGTCCACTTAAGGAGGTTGAAAGAACTGCAGATAACTCTGTTGTATATACACGACTTTTCTTTGAACTACTGATATATAAACTATAATAAAACTTCGATGTGGAGACTGTTTATGCTATCAACAAGAAAAGTTCTCCAAAATGCATGCATGTGAAGTTCTCATGACATTTGCATGCTGGGATCTCACTTGAAAATCCATGTTAACTATACCTTTTTAATGTGCTCTGTGTTGTGCTGACGTTTCATTTGAAAAAAAAATTCAAATAAGATTTTTTTTATTGGAGTTCCTTTTCCTTTTAATAAAAGAGTCTCCATAGATTACCGGCGGGTGACTTTTATCTTCAAACTAAGATAAATCGGTTTCTAATCTTGGGAGCTTGTAGTTAGTGAGTCCAACATGTGACAAGGGTCAAAAGATTTTAGACTTGACTACAAATGGCTGCAAGTAACACTCGCCACAAACTTGACCTGCTTGCTACTACTAGGATAAATGGAATTCTTCTGAGCCATTCTGCAGGATAGTACCTGCCTAATGCCAAACACAAAGTGCTTGCTTCTGCCTTGACAGCACTTTCTGCTGCCCTGGAAATTTTGAAGAAAGAGAGAAATTCAGCCAATGCAGGGAAAAAAAATCCGACTGGAAGCACGGCTACTTCAGGTTTTGAGATTCAGGAGCCACGTCTCCACAACCTGGTGTCAAAAAGGGATTTGCAGAGAAGAATGAAGGAGGTAAGAGGCATTTGAGTTGCAGCCTGTCGGTTGCAAACACTGGTATAGAATTGGGGAAGGATGCAAAAATAACATTAAAGTGCAACAAAGTAGTTACTAAAAATCTATTTTAAAATACCTTGGAGAAGGACAGTACTTCTTTCCTTGCCTGTAACTTCCCTCTATTATTTTCTGATATTGTTTGATCTTGCCCTGGGGAGTTTTTTTTTTTTTTTAAACATCTAATTCTAGTTTTAATGTGGCTTCTGCTAAGTGTTTGGAGAAACTTTCATTTCTTTTCAGCAGTTCTTCCCATTCTGAAAATTGTGCCATAATGCACGTTAACTTTCGGAATACGGAGTCTCTAAAACTAAGATAATGGGGAAAATCGTATTTTCTCTATCTGAAGCAGGGTAAGATTTTGCCCTGTATACACATACCCTCAGACTTTTAGGACACAAATGGGAAAGATATGCCCTGTAGAACCTCCCAACCCTACAGCTGTTGGGACTTAAGCTGCCAGTGAAACCTCTTTTTAAGTCTGACGACTATTAGCAGTTTTTCCTCAAGGTTATAATTGGAGAGGGTAAAATTAAGTCTTCCCACATATTACAGTTCTGTTTCTCCAGAGGTACTATCTGGTGCATGTTTTGCAAAAAGGCTTTATGCTGAACAGGGATGAGACTGAGGGGGTGGGGAGTAGAAAAGAGAGGCAACGGACAGGTCAGAAAACAAGAGACTTGCCAGTGAAAATCTGTAGAGCAGGGTATCCACACTTGGCAAATTTTTAAGATCTGCAGACTTCAAACTCACAGCTGAAGTACACAAGTCTTAAAAGTTGCTAAGGTTGGACGGAGTATTATAGTCCTTGGAAGGCAGTCCAGGGATTTACAGTGGGTTTGGGATGATCTAAAATGGTAAGTGCCCAGGTTGTTATAAAGCAAAATAATAATAAAAAACATGGGACAGACTACAAAGCATAAATTGTTCAACAAGTAGGCATAATCAAGAGTTCACCGTTAACCAGTGTAAAACATCCTCTAAACAAATTCATTTTGTCTTCTGTGAGATCAAAGTTTGCCTTTGGTTTCCAGGCTTATCCTTTAAAAACTGGTATTGGAGGCTTCGTGTGTATTTTTGCCTTATAACTTAAACTGTTAAGTTTCACTGGTGCCAGTAATACTGAAAAACAGTAAAATTGATGGCTTTATTGTGGTTATAATAGTGTGTCATGCCCTCTATAACTTCTTCCAATCATACTCTGTATGTGGTAATACAACAAGCTGAGTGTTTGTGCAATAGAGAACAAAACTTACAATTTAATGCCAAGATGGAAATAAACCTCCTTAAAAGTAAATTTGGCTATTCAGGCAGAGTGATCCTAGTGTATTTTACACTGTTGAAAACAGTTGCTTAATTTGTTCATATAAGGGCGTATTTTGTTACTACATTTTATAAAATGTAGAGAAGCAAGACTATTCGATTCTGTTTTTTAAAAAATGAAATCCCAAGTGGAAATTCTTATGCAGAAAAAGCAGATATTAAGAGATAGTTAAAGGGCTTTCCAGAGCCTTCAAGATGTACTTGTAGCAGCAGGTTCTTCAAATAAATACCTCTTTTTCATTTAAGAAGTAATTTAAGTTAAAGAATCTCCAGCTACTTTTACTTTACTGAAATTAAAAAGGGGAGACTTATTACCTCAGGTGCATTGCTAGAAGCAAAATTTTAAATTTGGAAAGCTTACTAAAAGAAGGATTTCTCTATGCGTGCTTCTTCCACCTTGCTTCAATTTTGATAATTTCAGTGGAGAAAGGATGATTTAAAGTAAAATCTGAAATGGAGGCATTTTTTCTGCATAGATGAACTAAATTCCAGTGATCATTCAATCACTCTATATTGTTTTTCTTTTTCAAAGGCCTTATGCTGCTCTAACGTTGTTTGGATACTTTCAGAAAGGTAAATGAAACGAACGGCAATACCAGATTTCCACCTCTGAAGTCTGCAACTGCCCCAGGACTATCAGCAAAGTTGATATGTGCCAAGATCTGCCATTGAAGCTGCAAGCATGGCTATAGAGCAAGGGTGTCAAACTGGTGGCCCACAGGCCAGATGTGTCATGCGCAGGCCACGTCCACCCAAGCTCCGCAAAGGCAAAAAAAAACATTGTGATACATCATGTGACATCAACATGATGCGGCAAGCTTGACATCAGTGCTATAGAGGAATCTCCAGATGGTTTATTGTGAATGCAACTAATTCTAATGGATTCCACTCCAACATCTTTTTCCATCTCCTATGCCTTCCATTTTTTTAATGCTTTAATGTTGTTGTTTTTTGCCTGAAACTAAAATGAAAGCTACAGTTTTATTTCAGATGTATTCCTCTAGCCTGGGACAACCATTACAGAAAACTGTACATTCAGAGTTAACTACAGGCGACTTATGTCGTGGCATCATCACGTTTGTTCTACTTCATCTTAGACTTTTAACTGCCTAGGAAAGTCGTGACAATTGTTTGCACTGAAGTATAAAGGCAATTTTATTTGGTTGCACTGTAGGTGTTGTGTAAATAGTGCTTCAATAAAGGGTTTGCCAAAAGGTATGATCTGCTGTGCTGCATAGTAACAAATAATTGGGTAAGGAGGCCTGAAAAACCCAGCATGGGAAAAGGTAAGGCTGTAAACTTTGAGATACCCAGTGTCCTGCCATTACTTTACATGCTCAAAAGCACGTTAAAGAAAATCTTGAGTATTCTTGTGAGGTACTAGCAAATCTCAAGAGGACAAAATGAGCAGCTTTACAATCCCTTGTGCCTCTTTATACATTTTTTTAAGACAAGTACTGCAATGTGAGGTAAGAAATGGATCACATTAGTTTGAAACAACTAGCCATACTCTTGTACTGCACTCAGAAAGTTCCGAGTCTTTCTAAGTTATGGCTTTGCCTCCCAAATCATGCTAATCCATGAAAAATTGAGTAGCTGGGTTCACCCAATTCCTTAAGCCCAAGCACATATGCTATTTTATAGATTAATATGAGAATAATTTAGTCTTTGTGATGGATTAATTTACACTGTAAAAGTTTGGCAGAAACCAAGGACCGTGGCAGTGGTCCTTAGGATGTAGCTTAGTTTAACCAATTACCAAGAAGCTGCTTAGTTATTTTGTAGAATATTGCTATATTGCCCCAATCGTAGTCTGAAAATACAAAGATCCAACTGCATAAAACTTTTCAAGTATTACAAAACAATTACAAGTAGTATAACACTTATAGATGCAGAGACAATTTGGCCCAAAATCAGAACTACCAAAATAATTACTGCTCTACAAAATGTAATTTGGGGGGGGATTGGGTATCCATGGATTCATAACTCTAGTAAATTAGGAAATTTGCTAGCAAAAATGTAACAAAAATATATTTTCATGATGTGATTTCCCACAATTGTTCACATTTGGCCATAGCAAGGTAAGGGAAAGCTTCCAGTTATCTATCCCCAGCCTCACAAAAGCCCCCTCTTAACCACCATCAAATGGACTTGGGGGGGGGGCGGAATTCTACATTCTTCAAGAGCTCAAAAAAGGGCAAGTTGAGTTATAGGTCCTGATTTTTTCAAATCTGCCCACCTGTGACTTAAAAACCATATCCAATTGTTTGGGGTTTTTTTTCCCCATAAAACACTCTTAAAATAGCTAGATAACATTGAAATTTCGCTCGGTTGTTATTAACACATCTTAGTAAACATGCTTTCTTTAAAAATGGTACAATAAGACTTTATTATAACAGCTGGCATTGGATGGAACAAGATTAAGTTAAAGGAGATGTCAATGAGATCTTACACATTGGAAAAATCTTATACAGTACTGGAATGACAAGTTTTTACTTGTAACACCCCAGTCCCATTGCAAATTCACACAGTGGTTGGTGTTACAGAAACATGGTATCTGGTTGATTAACAACTGGAAGTTGTTTTATGTACATCATTTTTGCACAGAAAGGTCTGTATTAGTGGTTACCCATACACATACATGCACACATACACACTGCACAACGCTTTAGAAATTTCAAGTCTAACAAAAAAAGTAAAATATGGAAGTGTAATTTTGAAAAGTGCACTTGAACGCTGTTTGCCAGCAATTAGAATGTAACATTATTGTTTTATTCTTAAGTGATGTTCTTATCCCAGAAACTAATCTAGGCAACAATATTCTCTTCAAAGCGCCCCAAAAATATAATCACACAGACAATGGTTTTGCATTTTCTTATTATTCTTTTAGCAGCTTTTGGCTCCATTTCGTTTTCCAATGCCGTGAAAATGATTGTGACTGCAATACTATATTTTTTAAATCACAGATTCCCAAGAGACTACAGGATATGTGTGCATGTACGCTTTATATACATCTCTCTATAAAAATACACTATCATGTAAAAAAATATTTCAATAAACTCTAATTGCTATTCTCACAGTAGTAGCTATCTCCTTTTATTCTCACAGTAGGTTTTTTTTCTCTCTCTCTTATCATTAGGAGAAAACTGAGGACTTCTGGGCAGCCCTACCACAAGGGTGCTTGCTACTGAATTTCAATGTTGCAGGATCGGCTTTGAAGAGTATCTGGGTAGAACACGCCAGGGAAGTAGCCCCAAATTGATATTTCAATCTACAAGGTTTGTGGCAAGAGATTCAATCTCAATTACAAAGCTCAAAAGTTGTACCTTCTGAACACATTCAGGTAACAAATGCAATCCATAAGGGGGTAAGTGATATTTCCCCTGAAGCACCTTAATTTCTATCTTCGACCTCACAGATAGAAATTATATTTTCAAATCAAATACAAACAGTACCTTAATTTTACCAGTAAATTATCCTGTCCAAAGAAAGCTACCTAGCCCCCTAGATGAAGTACACAGCTGGTTAGTAAAAGGAAGGCTCAGATTTTCCTACATAGTAATGAGAAGGTCTAAATGTTTCATGAAAATGGAAACGGAACCACCATCTCCAGTTCTGAATCAATATCTCTCAAGCTTCTTACCATTGAAGGAAAGACCGAAACAGGGTGAATTTCATATATATGGATAAATACATCCATCCATCAAGCAAGGCTATCCCAACCTCCCCACCCAAAGAAAATAAACAGCTTTTTCAGTGAAGCACATAATTGAATGATTAAACTTACTTGGCAAAACGAATAAGTAGAAATCAACTTTGTGGAAACTCAGTTCAGCCACCAAAGACACACACACACACACAAATCAGTGTACGAACCTCATTTACAATAATCTAGGACAGTGATGGCTAGCCTTTTCGGCACCGAGTGCCCAAAGTGCGTGTGTGTGCGTGCGAATGCGCGTGTGCATGCATAAACCCCCAAATGCAATGTGCGCAAATCCGTCCCCTGCCCCGCATGTATGTGCATCCCCACACATGCACCCCCTGTGCATGCATGCGCCCCCCCTACATGCGCCCCCCCATGCATGCATGCATGGCAGAGACCTAAAGACCAGCTGGCCTGCAGGAGGCGTGCGGGCATGCGCAGCAGAGCTGAGCTGGGGCAACAGCTCGCGTGCCTGCAGAGAAGGCTCTGTGTGCCACCTCTGGCCCACGTGCCATGGGTTCGCCATCATGGATCTAGGAAATCAAATTCTTTTAAAAGTCTGATTGATCCAAGGGGCAGAAAGCTGGGAGATTAAAGATCCTATTCAAAAACAAAAAAAATGTTGATGAAACAAATGAATGGCCATGAATTACACAGGGTTATCCTCAGTCCCAATCCTATGTATGTTTCGTATCGTGTTCATACCTATCGACCAATTATACAGCTGGAGCCATGTAGGTGTGCCCCAAGGTTTTCTAATGAAAAAAATCTGTCCTAGCAACCAGAGACAATGGCCAAGACAACCGTAACCATTTTCTAGCATAAATCAGTTTTGGGAAGAATTATCTGCGACATATATAAACAGATGCAAAACACGAAGTTATGCTATCTCAGCTCTTCCCATCACTAGATTGGTGCCATTTTTGGTCTTAAGTACAGGAATCCATATATCCATATAGCATAAGTTCATATGCCCATACAAATGTACAGAATAAAACTAACCAAAACTGGTACAAAGGATGATATCCTCCTGGCAAATCGAAGCCACTATTTAGGATCCTGAAGACAGAAAACAGAGTGACCCGATTACTCTAAACGTCATTTCTCATGGCACATACATCATCATCTTCTTAACTGCTTACTGGAAACAACTCACTGCAATCTGATTTCATCAGGATTTTCTGATGAAAAGGGTTTGGATGGAGGTATAAAAAAAAAAATCAGATGTCAGGTGTAATCATGCAGACATTTGGAAGCAAAAAAAAAAAAGTTACCAAACTGATTAGGTGGATTGGCTGCGATTTACTTATTGTCTCCCATTAATTTTAGCAAGTGGTGGCAACTTTGGGGTGAGGAATCCAAGCTGTTGCATTTTTTTTTATACCACCTGAAGCACGTGTATCTTTTCAAATAAAATGAGGTTATCCTATGGAGACCATAATTAAAATCAGCTCTCTGTTCACTCTGGGACTCCAACATATCTCCAACATATCTCCTACCCAGAAAGCCTTCCACTAAATGAAAGCCAAATACAGTACATTTAAATAGCAGGTCCTTAATGACTTGATTTTGGACAGTTTAGAACCCTCCTTACTCGGAAGTCTGCTGGCCGTGATTCCAAGTGGCCTTTGGAAAGAAAGTTATTTTACAACACACATTATGCCTGAGGCTTTGGCACAAAAATAAAGGAGCAGGCCTTCTGAGGCATATGCACAGCTGATTTTTAACTGGTCTTTACACAATATTTAGTGTAATAAGACATCTAATTGGGGGGGGACGGGACAATATGGGTTTCAAACCATGCAAAGAGATGGACTTCACTTCTAGAAGCACATTTAGCAAGAACTTGAAATTATATCTTCAAAGAATGATTAAAACGCTACATATTTTTTCAAAACTTGGAAGCACGGTTAAAGGGTCTTAACTATATTCACATTTATTATGTTTGCAAATGATATTCAAATTATGTAAATGCTACCCAGACACAGCTATAGTTAAGGTCATGGAGCTTCTACAGTTCAAATTCATATATGTGTGAATGTCTATGCAAGGATCCTGAGATGTCAATCTTCATTTGTTTAAGGAGAGAAATGGTTACTGAAGCTTTTCACTTTTTAAGAATGGATTGCTCTTTGCCACTTTCTGCTAGACATTTAGCATTTCTGATTCACACACACACACACACACACATATACTTCAAAGATACTGCCGTGTTCTCTGGAACCTGACTATTCCTTTTGACAAAACTTTTTACTATGTCTTCAAAGACACCCATTTTCACAAATCTGAACAAAAACTGCAGGACATCAAGTGACTGTTTTGAACAAACCCTACTGCTCTAGAATGATCAACAGCGAATGAAGACATTAGGAATTCCTTTGCTCAGACTGAAAATTCCAAAATGTGCTGTCTACTCACCGAACTTCTCCAAATGTTACAATCTGTATCTCAAGGGCACCAATTGGCTCAGAGGTAAATTTATATCAGGACATGGTCCTGGCTGTAAGGCATTGCTGGTTTTACTATGCGGTAATAATGGTAAGAGACTCAAAAGAGCATCATTTTTAAGCCTTCCATTCTAAACCTCCTTTTGTTGGAAACTGATCGGTGTGTTTTGTATAAAGTCTTAGAAAAGTACAATCATGTAATACAGAAAGCATTCAAAAATTAGGTGAGAACCATTTTAGAAGATTAAAAACCTTGTGGGGTACATACAGTTTATATGAAATACAAAACCCCAGTAAAGCGAGTAGACATGGGGTGAAAACTCTGATTTAAACTCTTTGTAGGTTTGAATTTGCTACACTTTTCTGGCTGTTTTCCCCATCTTCTCTCTGTGGTATGCAAGTAAACCCCGCTCTCTTCTTGAAATGGCAATCTTCAAAGTGCTGCAAGAAGCTAACTGTTAGTGCTGCTGCTTTCTCGTTCCATTCCCACTTTCAACATCCTAAGTTCTTGAAATCCTAAGAATTACAACGATCCCTGTTTTATATTAATGGCACTTACTGTGGAAAAAGCACAGTATTCAGGCAGACAGAGATAGAAAGATTTGGGTTTCTTCATGTAAGTTTAGGAACCAGTATCAAGACCGCAAGCTCTGATTTTCAGAGATGAAAAAGAACAGTGTTTTTCTAAAAACCTTTAGAACAGGTACAAGGAAGCCATTCTCAATAAACCTGGCTTTTTTTCAGACATTTTCTTGATTTTTTGACTGATTTCCTATTTCATTCGTCGACCCGGTCTGATCCTTCCATCATCTCTCCATCAATTCAAGTGTAATTGCACTCTGTAAGGGATACAGTTCTGAATGTTCTAGTCATAGCTAATATCCTCAGTGATAGCTATCTTCCGATCTCACTTTTGGAAAGATTTTCCTCTATTCAAACCTTTCTCCCCATTGTATCATTCCAATCCTGCACCTTTAACATTGCGGATGTTAAAATCTCATCGCGTCACAGCAGAGAAATAAGCGTGTTTAAAAACAACAAAACATTTGCTTCTCAACCGAAGTAAATGGATTACAGTGGCATATTAAATCCAAGGTTTTTTTTTTTTAAAAAAAATCCAGATGTTCCTTAAAAAGAGTCTACGGTTTGGAAGGAAACGGAGCTGCCCCGAATGGATCTAACTCTACTGCCTGTTGCTGCTGGCTCTGTTGACACTTCACGCTTGGCACAAGTTCGGTGAAAGGAACTGCTCCAAAATCATCTGTTAATTTTACGCCGTCACTGGAATGAATGCTGCCAAGTAAGGAGCTCTGCCTAGGTCTCCCAGGCACAGCTGTGTTGTGATCCCCACGATTATCGCCCAATCCTTGGTGTTGCGGGAGACGCAGCCCTTCGGCGGGATGGAAAGGCTTGGCTCCAAAGGGATCCAGGAGGTTATCATCACCCTGCAGGGGATTCACTCTGTCCTTGCTATCCGACAGGCTAATGCTTATGTTTTCCTTGGAATCGGAAATGGTCAGAAACTCGTTGCTGCTTTGGGAGTCTCGGCGGCCAGCTTTTTTGTGCCTTCGGGCTCTCTCCGGCGTCCGGTAACTGGGCTTCAAGGTCTTCTTGGCGCTGGTGGGAGTTCCATGGTGGCGCTTGCTGTTGCTCTTGGATCCCTCCTGCTTCATGCGCCTCTGGCGGGAGGACAGTTTCTGCAGATTCCGTTGTTGCTGTTTGGCTTTGTGTTGCTGCTGGCTGCCAGTTATCTCCTCAAACGGGACAAGCCCGAACAGATCCTCTCTAGCTTCGCCGTGCCTTTGGATGGAAACGGGCTGGAATGGGATGCAGCCAAAAACGTCCACGCTTTTGGGGGAAACGGGAGACGCCAGAGGTTCCGAGCCTGTGATCGAATCATCTTGCTGGGATATTCTTCTGCTGAAGGGAGCTTTGGTGAAGACATCGAAGTCGTCCTGGTCTTGCTCCGGATGGGCAACTTGGGAAGAGGTATCCTTTGGTTCCTGGGGCTGCAAAACAAAGAACGGAACAGCTCCAAAGACATCGAATTCTTGTTTGGGGCTCAAACTGGAACCCGGGAACTCAGTCAACGAAGGGCAGGGAAGAATCATTTCTCTGCTTTCCATACCGCCAGGCCCTTGTCTGTATCTGCCGCAAGGTACTTCCTCTGTGGGCCTAAAACGGTGACAATCAGAATCAGAACTGTGCTTATCGTCATCTTCTGCATCTTCCTCAGAATCCATGAGAAGGGGATGCTGGCCTAAGTTTTCTGGCTCTGTATCGTTGTCGTCAATGAAGTCTCCCATCTCGCCCTGCAAGACTTCTTCATCCTCTTGTTCCTCCTCTTCCTCACTACTCTTTGGAGAAGGGGGATCGGATTCAAAATCACTCTCCGACTCATCGTTTCCTTTCTTAGTAGGGGCTCCCATGACCTTCTTTCCAGCATCCTGGTCCTTAACCACCTGGCTTGACTTCTCATACTTAGACAGACTCTCTAACATGTTTTCTAGATTGCTGGCTCGGTTATTAATTTCATTTCCCGGGGAGCCTGAAAGGATGAAGAACAGGCAAAAGAACTTCAATTTCAAATCAGTGTTTCATACCTCCACAAACACACACACATATATACATTCTTTTACATTATACAACTAGACAAGTATGATGCTTAGACTCACAAAAAAGCAGACATTAGAATCTTAAATCTTCAGCCTTACAGCCAGAAAAGGCATATCTGAGTATTTGTACATTCACTCTCAATAGCAACTATTCTGCTAAACCATCAACAGATGTCGTCCCACCAACAATCATTTTGCATTCTCTGAGTAAGAACTTTATAATGGAGGTCAGCACATTCTCTTATCTTCTTATTTATATACAGTAAGTCATACTGTTTTGAAAGGAAACGTACTGAACTATTTAATTATGTTTGCGATGCCATTTCTGATCACATGCTTATTTAGAAATGTTTCTATTTAATTATTTTTCCAGCTTGGATTGTCCCACATTCTGGCACCACTTATTTTCACACACTGAAGATCAACAATCCAAAGCTGACATTTCCTTCATGATATATTTCACTCTCTTTCCACACTCTTTTCTGTCCTAAAAACACACTCCTAAAAACTTCACTTGTCCTTTTCACACTTTTTCTGTCCTTTTGAGCTAATTGGAGTTTGGCATGCAGCATTCTAGCAATACAGCTCTGTATCTTATTAAGAATTCCCATGGTGGTCCATACGATTTAATACCTAGCAAATAGGTTTCAAATTTCAGCCTAATCTTTATGTAATAAAATATACCCCTTTATTAATCAATTTTATTTACCCTCTTAATATTTTCACTGGCTGATATTTTAACTTTGAATCAACTATGATTTTTCCGCCTAGGGTATTAGTGACCAATTTAGATTTGATCCATTTACATGTGAAGCTAGCATTATTTATCCCAACACACATCAAGGATACTTTCTGTCTCATTTCACTCACCAAACTGTTTTTAAGGAGAGATTGTTTTCCTTACAATGTATTTAAACCACACTTCACAGTTATTGGTTTCCTATAAATGGACTTTTGGATTAACTGTTGTGATTGCTTTTTGAGTGCAAAGAGCAATGGATTAGTACATCTGGACCAATCTAACTGACCAAAATCTGTAACTAGCCTTTCATAAGTCCACTGTGAAGCAAAGGAGGCACCGGACATCCATTCTTCCTTTTCCGTTAGATTCCAAGTCTTTTGAGACAAAACCTATCTTATCTTTTACTCTCTGCACAACATTAGAAATGTTTTTTGTTCTCTTAAATCAGCAGCCCCCAAACCTTTGGGCATGGAGAGAGGTTTTTCCATGGACTGGAGAAGGCATGATTTCACATGCTGACTTGTTTGCATGGCCCGATTTCTGGCATGCTGTGGCCCAGTGGCAGACCATGGCCTGGGGGTTACTGATTATTTTTGTTGCATCCAATATTTTATCAACATTTGGGGGGATAATTCTCTATCTATGGTTTTCTAAGATTAATATCCACATGTACCATAGATATATCAAATGTATATAGTACATGTTTAACTCTTAGCTGCTGCCTTTGAAGTGGTTACATCCCGCTCTATTCGTGCCTATATAAGTCATCGATCAATCATCAAGCCAAAATATTTGAATCATTCCTTCTAGCCTGTGAACTGTAGAAAAAAGTACCTATTTCCATTTTTCATTTTTCTGCCTTCCCATTCTTTTTCCTCTTATTTTTGCACAGTACTACATATTTTGTAAGCCTGGTAATTATTACTATGTGGGGAGCCTTCTAAGACAAAAGAGCAAGGAAAAAAATTCCTAGTAATAATATATCATTCATAAAATATTCAGGAGTGGGATTAGAATTCATTCCACCCAGTACAGTAATTAACCAAGGAAATATGAATTTTAATCAACATGTTCAGAAAGTAAGCATATTTCTATTAATTTTCCTTTCTGCTAAGATTGTTCTCTTTTATATTAAAAGAAAAAGTTCCCCCTTACAATATTACATTGAATTTATCTAAAGTAGAAGAGTTTATTTCATTTCTCTGACAGGCACTAAGACATTTACTGACAACAAATTAATGTATTTTACCACAAAAGGTACACTTCAACAATATCCAAAACTAAGGAAGTAATCAACAGAAACAGGGAAGAAGCTATGGGGTGTACAGCTATAGTAACATGCAATCCTACAAGTAGTCCTAAAAATAATTTGGGGGAGGAACCACCCCTTTTTTTTAAATGGAAAAATATAAACAACTGTTTTTCAAGTGTGATACTGTAACAGGTTGTGCTACATTTCATATATTGGATTTTAAAGTCATATGAATATGTAGATTCTTTCTTGGTGTGATAGTTTCCCCAAAGTAAGTCATAATAATGAACTTTCAGAAATCCATTTCAACATATCCTTGTGTGCTAAAATTGCTTACAGAAATTCTTATTCTTTCAAATTAAAAACTTATTCTTTTCAAATGTGCATAGTTATTTTTGTTTAAATACCAATTTTAAAACTGTGCAATTTTAAATATGGGCATGCTTCTGTTTGTTTAACTAAAAACAGCTCAATTCATATATGTATATATAAATGCTTATCTTAAGAGATGATGTACTTTCTCTTTATATCAGGAAGATAATTTGTCACATGTAACATTTGCTTGGTTGAGAGAACATATAAATCAGGTAACTCATAAATTGCTCTAAAACTACTTCTCTGTTTTGAGCATTCGGTTTACAGTGGGGAAAACAGTTAAGTCCAAATGAATCCCGATATTAACTCAACAGTAGTTCTAGCATAATGCTACTTTAAATATATGCGCACAAGAGGTACCAAATCCATATCTTAACCCAATTCAACTTCCTATGTCACCCCCCTGCCCTTTAATATTCTTACATTTATCAAAAGCTCAAGAGAAAGAAATTTCAAATTCACTTTTAAATTAATGCCATAATAATGTTGTAATAACATGTAGAAAAAGATTTGATTGAAGTAATCTCAAAACTGCTCCAATGGTCATTTCAAATCTGACTTTATGAACAACTAAGAACTGGGTGGCATAACAACATCTGTTCGCAAGAAAATGTACAGATTATATCACTTCTAATCAGGTTTGCCTCTTGTACCGGGCTGTAATTCTGCCCTCAAATCCAGTGCAGGTAGAACATCTTTAATCATTAAGATCCCAATCTTCAAGAGAGAGAGAAAATTTCTGTTCCTGTGTTCATTTTCTAGACATCCGATTATAAGAGGATGAATGGCTTGCAACAACTGGAGTAATTACATGCCTTCTGCTAGTGCATCATTTCAAAAACTGGGAGAAACCCAGGGGAATAACCATTTTTAAAGCTCTTCCTGAATTGGGAACATACTGCTGTCATCATTCCACAGCAATCCGCCACATGTTAGCTCAAGGATTGCAGAGATGTCAGCTAAATCTGCAGTTTTCAACAACAGAAAGGCAGATGTCCAATGCTGTCAAGAGATTTAGTGGTTTGCTTACTGTTTTGAACTTAAGGGACAGTCAAACTGCACTTCCTTCATTCCATACACCCATTTCCTTTATACTTGTTGCAATATTTGGAATATTGCAATATGGAATCTTTTCAATTCTGAGTTCTCAATCCCAATAACTGTTAATCATCAAGGAGAAATATTTTTTGAAAAAATTGTATCTTTTTCAAACAAAATGGCAGATCAAGTGGCAAATCTATGTACAGGTAGTCCTTGAGTTATGGCCATAATTGAGCCCAAAATTTATGTTACTAAGCGAGAATTTGGATTTTGCTCCATATTACGGCCTTTCTTGCCACACTTGTTAAGTGAATCACTGCAGCTGTTAGTAAAATGGTTGTTAAGTGAATCTGGCTTCACCATTATCTTGTCATGATAGCAGTCTTCCAATATTTGAGGGGCCGCCACAGAGAGGAGGAAGGGGCCAAGCTATTATCCAAAGCACCTGAAGGCCAGACAAGGAATAATGGATGGAAACTGAACAAGGAGAGATTCAACCTCGAAATAAGGAGAAACTTTCTGACAGTGAGAAATAATCAACCAATGGAACAGAAGTTGCCCTCGGAAGTTGTGGGAGCTCCATCCCTGGAGGCTTTCAAGAAGAGATTGGACTGCCATTTGTCAGAAATGGTGTAGAGTCTCCCGCTTGGGCAGGGGGTTGGACTAGATGACCTACAAGGTCCCTTCAAACTCTGATTATCTGTTATCTGTTATCTTTGCTTGTCAGAAAAAGTGCAAAAGTGATCACATGATCCCGGGAAACTAACCGTCATAAATAATCCCTTGCCAAGCATTTGAATTTTGATCAAGTGACCATGGGGAGGCTGCAACAGAAAGAGTTGTAAGTCACTTTTTTTCAGTGATGTTGTAAAATTTCAAATGATCACTAAATGAACTGTTGTAAGTCAAGGACTACTTGTAGTGCTTGACTTACAGCTGGTATTTATTTCAAGCATTCCAAACCTGTCTTTAAAGGAAAAATCCTTCTTGGGATAAACTCCATATAGAACAGGGGTGTCAAACTCAAGGCTCAAAGGCCAGGTGAGGCCTGTGGGGTGCTTAGATCTGGTCCGCAGGGCCACCCTAGAAACAGTGAAGAACCGGCCCATGGTGCCTCTGCCAGGGAAAACAGAGGTCGGGAGGGTTTGCGTGCAGCCCTCCTGGGCTCCATTTTCGCTGGCAGAGGCTCGCAAGACACCGTTGCAGCCGGAAATGGAGCTTGGGAGCCCATTTTCCCTGGCAAAGTGCTCAGGTCACCACAGGCGCCCCCAACACGAGTAACGTTGAGCCTGGCCATGCCAACAATGGCCCCCGAGGTCAAACCCAAAAACTGATGCGGCCCTCAATGAAATTGAGTTTGACACCCCCTGATACAGAATAATAAATCATTCCAATTTAGGTATAAGAATGTTTGGCCTAAACCAGGTGTGTCCAGCCTGTGGTCCACAGGTTGCGCATGTAACCCTGGGCAACTAGTAATGCAGCCCCACAAGATATTAAAAAATATTTTTTAAAAAGAAGTGCGTTAATTGTTCCTGACTCAATGCAAGTCCTGGCAAGCTAAAAGATTGGACCATCTATAGATGACGTATGTTCTCCAGTTGGCTTTTGATTGTATTTAACTACTCCTCAATTTCTAAGTGGCTCATAAGGGTAGATATTACTAGCCAAATATAACTCTAAATGATGAAACAGACTAAATTATGAATGAACTGTTCAGAGGCTTGAAGTTCAATTTCAAACCAGGAAGAGAACCTTTTTTAGACATATTCCCTCCATCATTAGCTTTTTAAAAAGAAAACAGCAAGGTTGCCCCCTCCCCCCTCCCCGTTTTCTCAGTGCTTGGTAGTAATGTTCAGGAATGGGGGGGGGGGGGTTAGTTTGCCAAAGGAAGTAGATGCTGGCCTGTGTTACATTTTGCTGATTAATGGACTTCTATTGAAAATAATTTAGACAATGTTTGGATTTGTAAGCTTACTATGGAGATATATAAGATTTAGTCCCAGTTAACAAGCCACATATTTTAAAGGTAGATTTATAGAAAGTAATCAAGTCAATATTTGGAAGAAGCATTCATGATATTGTTGATGAGGTTGTGCTGATTTCCATATAATATAAAACCTCAATTCTACCATCAATAGAAATACCCATTGTGTTCATGAATGAAGAAAGCTTTCCTTTGTTCAACTTGTCCTAGTCAGCTTATGCAAATCCCCTGCTTCTAAACTTGTTTTTCAAGGAAAATGGGTTCTTCAAACTCCCATCTTACAGAAGAGGGCAGTATCTCCCCATCCACAAGATAAGAAATGCTCATGAGTGTGAAAAACAGTCGTAAGTCACTTTGTTCAGGGATGTTGTAACTTTGAACAGTCACTAAATGAACTGTCGTAAGTCAATACCTGTACATATTGGCTAACCTTCCTATGTAGTAATGCAGTCGGGTGATGGATTTGTTTATATGACTCCCTCCAGGAATCCAGTTTCTTCTTAGAGCCAGCTATTCCCTCAAACGGTTGAAGATCTGTAGAACATTGTATAGGTAGTCCTCAACTTACAATAGTTCATTTCATGACCTTTCAAAGTTATAACAGCACTGGAAAAAAAGTGCTTTTTTTACCATTTTTCACACTTACAACCATTGCAGTATCCCTATGGACATGTGATCAAAATTCAAACGCTTGGCACTTGATTCATATTTATGAGAGTTGAAGTGCCCCAGTGTCAAATGATTCTCTTTTACAACCTTTTGACAGGCAAAGTCAAAGGGGAAACCAGATTCATTTTACAACTGTGTTACTAACTTTAACAGGTGCAGTGATTTACTTAACAACAGTGGCAAGAAAAGTTGTAAAATGGGGCAAAACTCACTTAACTGTCTCACTTAGCAACAGAAATGTTGGGCTCAGTTGTGGTCTTGAATCAAAGGCTACCCGTAATTTTAAAAGTTATATTGTATTTAATAAATCTATCCTTTTATTGGTGTGCTGTGATTCTTAGATTTATTTTCTTTCTTTTTTCTCTTTTATTTTATTTTTTTTATAAAGAGGAGTAAAAAATATTCAAGAAAAAGTATAGGTAGTCCTTGTTTCATCATCACACTGGGGACCAGCTATTTAGTTGTTCAGTGAAGTGATCCCTAAGGGAAAACGTTTATGATCTTACTTCGTCTTTTTTTAGTTTTACAGACTTGCAATTTGGGTATTTGTCCAAATGTTACTTTATCATCATTATAATTGAAACAGTTGCTAAATTAGGCAGTTGCTAAAAGAGGACCCTCACCTGCAATCCCATTTTATACAGTACATGAAAAAGTCATAAACTCAAATGTCATTATCAAACTGATATTGAATTAGAAACTGATTAGCATAACAAAGGAACAAACAAAACTGTGTTGTTTGGGGCTTATTTTGCTAGGGGGACGCTAATTGCACAAGAAATATACGTATGATTTCTTCAGATGCCATGTTAAGAGACTTCCTTTTCACCTGGGGAATTTACAACGATGCATAATTGGGCCTTTCCCACTGTACTGAAGAGATCCCGGGAGATTTGATCAGCTGCCTCCCAAAATGTACATCTGACAAAAAGAAGAGCCAAATAATTGGGCAAAGAACGCACAACTATTGGGAGATTGCTTAACCTCAGTCTGAAAAGTCAGCACGTGTTGATATTTGTGTCTAAGGGTTACTGGATAGGTCAGTATTTCTCAGCCTTGGCAACTTTTAAGGTGTGCAGACTTCAATTCTCAGAATTCTGGGAATTGGAAATCCGCACACCTTAAAGTTACCGAGGCTTCAGAAACACAGGGGTAGGTTATTTCTCCACCAGTAGAGCCAATTTGGATATAAATGCTGGTTTACCCCTCAGGCTGACCAATATTATTTCTATTTCCCTTCCTTCTTTGCATTATTTATTTTTGGCTAAGCCTCACCTGCTTTGAGATGTGAGCAATTAAAATGACTGCGCTATTGGAACCTCAACCTCCTGCCATGTGTCCATTTCTAATTGGAAAAAATGCTTAGGATAATACTGTGTTTCCCCGAAAATAAGACCCTGACTTATATATATGCCACCCTCCAAAAGGTACCAGGTCTTATTTTCGGGGATGTCATCCAGACTCACCTCACTTGTGTGTGTCTCCCCCCCGGCCTCTTTTCACTGTCAGAGGCCTTCAGGAACTACTTTTTCTGTGGCTGGCAAGGCTTTCCTGAAGACCTCTGCAGCCGATAACAGAGCTCTTGATCGATCCAACGCCTCCCCTTCACCACCCTAGCTTAATTTTTACCCATGTATCCTGAAGTGGGCAGGGCTTATTTTGGGGGTAGGGCTTATATTGATTCTTATGTAAGAATCAAGCTAGGACTTACTTTCAGGGTAGGTTGTATTTCCCGGGAAACGGTAATAGCATTTAGCAATAGTATTTAGACTTTATATAGTGCTTCACAGGTCTTTACTGCGGTTTACAGAGTCAGCCTCTTACACCCAACAATCTGAGTCCTCATTTTACCCACCTTGGAAGGATGGAAGGCTGAGTCAGCCTTGAACCTGGTCAGGATCGAACTGCCAAATTCCAGGCAGCCGGCAGTCTGCAGACCTAGCCTATAGTACTGCACTCTAACCACTGCGCCACTGCAGCTCTTATAATAAGCCACAAAATCAGTATACTGCCTCCTGAATGTGTGCCAGAACACTGCATTTATCTCTCAGTGGGATATAGAGAGCACACAGGTAGTCCTCAACTTACCATTCATTCAGTGACCATTCAAAGTTACAAAAGCACTGAAAAAAGTGACTTATGTGGGTTTTTTTTACACTTATGACTATTGCAGCAACCCCATGGTCATGTGATCAAAATTCAGGCGCTTGGTAACTGGCATGTAGTCATGCCCAGGGTCATGTGACCAATATTTGTAACCTTCCAAGCTGGCTTCCGACAAGCGAAGACAATGGGGGAAGAGCAGGATTCACTCAACGACTGCATAATTCAGTTCACAACTTCAGTGATTCACCACCACTGTGGCAACAAGGGCTTCAAATGGGCTGCCACTTAACAACTGCCTTGCTTAGCAACAGAAATTTTGGGCTCTTACGTTGAGGACTACCAGCGAGTTGGCTTGTCAAAAACAAAATAGTCTATTAAATGTGGTCAGGAAGAAAATAGTGGGAATAATCTATTTTGTTCTCTAATTGATCATAGGGAAGAATTTACACTACTGAACCAGCCCCATTTCCTTTCGATCAAAAAGATAAATTGATACGAAAATAAGTCATGGTATACACTATGTGACTTGCCTGCATGAGAAATGAAAGGAACAGAACCAAAGGGATCTTCTGAAGGATGGGTCAGTGGAGCAGAATGTGACTCCACTTGCTTATCTAAGGAAGTTCTCTTCTCCACCAGCCTGTCTGCAAAAATAAAAATGAAACAAAAACAAAAACAAAAGTAAAACAAAAATGGCAACTTTTAACCCAGTTAATGTTGCATTTAATAAAAGTTTTTTTTCATTTGTGGAAATAATATCCAAAAATCCTTCCTGCAACCCTTCTGAGATAAATTGCCAGAAGTGTACCAGAAAGAAAAAAGAAAGAGGGAGGGAGGAAAGGAAGGAAGGAAGGAAGGAAGGAAGGAAGGAAGGAAGGAAGGAAGAAAGAAAGAAAGAAAGAAAGAAAGAAAGAAAGAAAGAAAGAAAGAAAGAAAGAAAGAAAGAAAGAAAGAAAGAAAGAAAGATCAATTTTAACTCAAACATTTAGTTGAACTAGGGGACAAATTTAATTATTGCTTCCAGAAATTGTCCAGAATTTAATAAATATCCAAACTAAGGAGACCTCACAAGTGTGCAGCAGCCAAAAGAGAACATGCATTAAATAAATGGGTAAAGAAATTCAAGAAATGAAAATAATGATTGTTTAATTTCTGAGTTTTTCCAGGATTACTTATTAGTTGTGTTCGAATACTTTAAAGACTAGATTCTGCATGAAAAGACGGTTTCTATTTCATACTAATTCAGAATTCTATAGTGTTTCATGTTTCATTAATTTAAAAACCACAGCTTAACTCTTTTCATCATTCTGCAGCATCATTCTCTGTTCTAGCAATGCGTAAGAAACACCTGTCAAAATTAAATATAAAGCACATGCAAACTGCATGCTTACAGCAGCTGTTCAGCGATAGAAAGACTATGCAATGTATCATATATGAAAACTGCATTGCACCTGCTCTTCAACTCTTTTTCAGAAGTCTGTATAATTTTCTAAATAAGACATTCTTAACAGTGCAGTACAGTTCTGCTCCAATCAAGAAACTCATTTGCATAAAGCTGCCAAGAACAGTATATTCCACTTTGCTTCCCAAAAGCTATTTCTAAGGCTTAATTCCAACTTGTGCAAACTGCCTCAGCCCATTTTCTCTCTGGCTATAGCCTGGCCATTTCTCAAAGTGCAAGAATAATATTTCAGAAGAGCCCAAATGTGAGAATTTATTTCCTAGGTAGATCTGAGCTGTTAGCTGGATTCAGATTATCTCTTCTATAAATCAAAGACCCATTTCTTTCTGAAACAACTGAAAATTAACAAAGAATCATTCTATGGGGTGGCAGTTTTGCCCATATGCTAATGCCTAACTTTTCAAACAACAAGATAGTATCTGCTTTTTTTTTTTTTTGATCAGGATCCTTTTGTGAATGAAATTTCACTGAAGAGTAAAGGTAGAATTTTCAGAATCAATTTAAAACTTCCCCTATAAATATAAATGTCATTCAATAAGACAGCTATATCAGTTTTTAAAACAACTTAAAACAATATAATTTTTATCTGGTAAATATCCCCAGTGATCAAAGCCAGCTAGCCTGTACAAGAATCAAACAAATTAAGAAATAAAATATTCACAGAATCAACACCATGTAGGGATATAGAAAGCAAAAGACAATTGTAATTAAAATACACATTACAAAGAATAACATAAAACGTTTAACTTTCAAACTTCAATCACAGCAAATGAATATTCTCCATGCAAGACTTTTTCTTTCTTTTTTTTACCTAAGTCAAGTCTTGGGAAAATGAATTATACTTGTGTCCTTTGGTATTATTTCTCCTTTTCCACAAGAAAAGCAACTGAAAAAGAATTGGCATATTCCAAGAACTTCTATTGAGTACAGAAATGTTTCTCTGCTATATACAGATTTTTAAAACTTAACAGTATGATAACTAAATCATGATTACTGTATTATTATCTTTTGTTCATTCAGGATAATGCAAGAATGGATAATCAAAGTATCCTACTACACTGTTTATTCTATGTTTTAATTGAATCTACTATTAATTATACAGAAGTAAATTTAGAGACCTTTGCATTACAATGTCAGGAAAAATACTGGCATTTTATCTTAGTAGATTGTACTTATATGTACAAAAAGTGAGTTTGGAAGACAAAATTCTCATGAATATTTTTTTTTTTACAATTATATATTTCAATTTTATATCTTCCGGAAACCTCAGATCCTTATACTGTTTACAATCCAAAGTTTTCAAGCAATAATTCAGTTCACTTGTTTATCAAAATGGAATAAATTGCATTTATTTTCTTCAGTTACTTAGATAATTAAAGGGAAAAGAGGAACTTTGGAAGAAAAAAACTGGGTTTTCCAACATCATTGACCCTGATACTGTATTCATTATCAGTTATTTACTGTGGAGTTTGCTGGAACTGTACAAAGTGCAACAAGAATGCTATAAATCTATTGGGTTTATTTTAAATCCAATTCTTGCTTCAGGTCAGAATTGCAATTCAGTTACTAACAACACAACTTCCAATGGCTGAAATATAGTTTGGGGAATAATCTTCAGTTAATATCAATAGGTAGGGCCCAGAAAATAAATCTAGATCTAATTGTGGTTTGAAAAGCAAGAAATTTTCTGAAATCCTTTCAACTCTTACATATTTATTTACCCATTTATCATAGATTTCTTCCAGGGTGATTGAATACTTTATTAGTAATACTGAATTTTTATTGCATGCTCTTTAGGTAAGCAGCTCCAAAACAAATACCAAAATGTTATAAGTTTCCAATACTATGAAAAGGACATTCCACTACATAACAAAAAGCATTTGAGAAGAAGTTGAAACATTTATTCAGAGAAGAGGAGAAGCAAATGTTTTATCATGGCTCCTTCAAAGGAAAGCATTTTGAAAATTTACAGGATAAATACATTCCAAATAAACTGCAAAACAGTGCAAAACTATGATTTATAAAACTACTGCTTTCAACTTAATACATAGGTTTTTAATAAATTACTAAATGTTTAAAGCTTTCTGTTTGACTTTCTTGTACTTTTGCAAATCATTAAAAATTTCCCATTAAATCTACACGAAAACATTTGAAAAAATTAATCATAAAACACAACGTAATTTAAAATCCTATTATAGTTGATCCTCGTGTGGGTATTCTATTATATGAAGTTATCCAATTTTATCAAGTTGTTTATAAAGTTTACTCCTTGGCATGTTATAACTTTGTGGAAGATGAATAGATATTATAACTGATTCATTTTTAATCAAATAATTGTTTGGTTAAACCAAGTAAAACTCAGCATTCAATTTAATACCGGCATTTATCAAAGGTCCTGTAACAGTTTCTCTGTAGCCTTCCTGAATTTAGTTACATAGGTTAAATATACAGCAACACAGATATATTTTAACAAAGTGTTAAAACAGAGAATAAAAGACAATTAAATCTTTTAATATTTAAGGATTCAATTTAACTGTAATCTTTCAGGAGTCAGCCCATCTTGTTAATAATATGCCTATCAAAACTACAGCTCATAGGATGGTTGTTTCAATGACATTATCCATTATTTTAGCCACATAACAAAGAAAGCCCAGATTTAAGCTTCTTGGTTCACATGTGAAGAGAGAACGTTAGTTGAAGATTGTGTTAATTCTGGGATGCTATGTCTAAATTGGACCACGAGCCTTTCATGACAGTGATGTTTTCCATTAAAACAACAACCTGCATTATTAGTTTCATCACCTATATTTTGGCTAGGTTGTGATTTGCCTTTTACCAAGTTTAGAATCGATTTATTCTTCACAGCATTCTGCATTTTCTCCACAATTCATCTCCGCGAAAACAAGCAATATAGATAATATAGTACGGGGAAGCAACTTCAAGTAAACACACTGGCTTTTGGACTTAAAGATATTTTATTCAAATATTGTTATTTAGAACAATAAAGCAGCCTTTAACATTAAGCTACTCAAAATACATTACAAAACATTAACATAATGTACTGGGTCATTTTTCCCTCTTTCAGGCACTTTCAAAAGGCATTTTCAGACCCACACGATCTCCTCTTTTGGTGTGCAAAAGAACAAAACTGCCAAGTGAAGCAATGCACAGTGCTAACTGGTATTCTGCAAGGTTACACAAGCATATGTTTTTTGCATTTAACATTCAAGTAATTATTCAACATACGACCCTGACGTTTTCTGTGGTTTTGCAAAATGTTAAATTTCTATTGCACACATTTGTGTGTGTGTGTGTGTGTGTGTGTATGTATGCGTGTGTGTGTGTGTGTGTGTGTGTGTGACAGAAAGACAAGTCACACAGTGGGTCTAGTTTTGCCCTCAAATGCTCAGAAAGAGTTCTCTCTACAACAGACTGTGCGGCCCTTGAACAAAACAGTCCCCAGCACTGTCATTGGTACCTAAAGAGCTTTTTACTTTTATTGTGAAGCGAAATAAGCCTTCAAGCGTCCCTTACTTGATCTCAGAAGGTCAAACTCCCTGTCCAACAGCTCCTCCTCTGTCAGGTTGGAGAAATTGTCTTCTCCAAAAGGGTTCCACCCAGACATATCAGGGGGGCTGCTGATGCTTTGTTTCGGATAGCTGGAAACAGACTCTGTGTCAGAGGAAGATGATCTGTAGGAATTGATTGAGAAAATGACTTAAGGTACTCTTCAGGCATATTTTAATTCACATTAAACATCATTAAATACAATGTGGAAAATTAAGTACGATGTGCCATCCCTGAAAGCTGACCTGACCGAAACCATCTTGGAGCTTCAGTGTTTCCACACCGGTGCTGAGGGATAGGGAAGGGGAAATTGAGATAGCTGGGACTTTGTAGCCAAAATAAACTACTTTCTCTTGGGAACCAAGGGCTTTCTCACACCTGGTCAGAGGAAGAAGGAGTGATGTTGCCAGGCAACCAGACAGAACTGTGATTGGACCATGTGACTGATTGTTTTGAGAAAGTGAAAAACTTTTAATTTAATTTTAATTAGGTAAAAACTGAAGGTTTCTGCAGTCTTCACCTGATCTGTGCCAATATGATATATCCAATAAAGCTATCCTTTGGGGAATCTACCTACCTCGGAGTTTTGCTTGCTATGACTTGGAACCCTGACATGATGTAGAACATGACCCTTGAGAATATGAAGCATTACAAAATGTTTTATTTTAGAATAAGATGCCCCCATTAAAATGGAATGATATCCTATAAATAACAGAGTGATAACATAAAAGGACACCTATATAGTTCATTTATTTATTAAATGTGTACACCTTCCATCTCACTATTAAGCAACTCTAGGTGGCTTGCAATGCCATAACCACAGTCTGGATGACTGAGAATCTCCATAGATATTTGCAATGCCATAAATAAGAGAATAAAACAATTAAAGGGTTAAACATTGGGTATTAAAAGTTTAAAACATCAAAATTAAAATTAAAAAAGCAGATAAAAAGAACCAATACATAGATGGGGTGGAAGTGGGATCTTCTACTCATCTACTAGCTGCCTCCAAAATGGGATGCCCCCTTCAAGGCCCCAAGCCTGTTGGCAAAGACAGGTTGTCAAGCTGTCCCAAAGGTGCTTTTTCAAGAGGCAACTGGACTTTCTGGTTTTTCTTTCTGGTTTTTTTTTTAAAGAAAACCCAAGGAAATCTGGTTGCCTCTTGAAAAAGCACCTTTGGGACAACCAGGACCTGGATGACTGGGAATCTCCATAGATAGATTGTCAAGCTTTTCTAGAAGGCCAAGAAGATCGGGGTGGATCTCACTTCGAGGGGCAAGATATTCCAAAAGATGGAAGTCATGGCAACAAAGCTCTTTTTCCTAGACCCTGCCAACTGCAATTCCTTGGCTAACGGGATCCAGAGCTTGCCCCTTCTGCCAGATTGAGTGGGGTGGGCCAATCCCATTGGGGTGAGATGGTTCTTTAAGTACGGTTACTAATAACATGAGCTGAGGAAGCTTGCCTGTTTGCAGAATAAGGAGCATCCAGAGCTGCACCAACATGAGCTGGAAAGGATTTAGAATGAGAGATTAAGGCTGGTGAAAACTCCTGAGAAGAGGTAAGAAATTCAGGAGAACGTTTCGGTGGTGGCAACTGATTCCCAAGGACCTGTTGCTGTAGAAGAGCTTGTTGGTACTGCTGCATCTCAAAGGAGAAGAAGAAGAACGTCAGAACTGTAAAACTCTACCTCAGGTAAATCTTAAACAAATAATCCCACAATCATGCCTTGTACAGAAAATGAACATCTTAACTGAATTAACACAAAAACACAAACATCTGGAATTTATACTGGCATTAATAAAACAAACAAGCAGTTAAAATAAATGGTAGGAAATGAAATCAGTTAATTAATAGTTACATAATTAGCACAATTAAATTATGCCATCTATTCATCTAGCTCCACGTTATGATGGACATAAAATGATGTAGCGGGATATTCTTAGGGGAGGGAAAAAAAATCTTCACCAAAAACTTACAATATTGAACAAATATTGCTGTTTTTGATGGGCATTTTCCCTGTTTCCAATATTTTTACTTCTGGTTTCCAGCAAAAAATGCCTATGACCACTGAAAAAAATTGCCCAGTCACATGACTTACAACTGCAATGACTTACAACCATAATTCCAGGTTCAATTCCGGTTTTAAATCGAGGATTATGTCTACTTATTTTGACCAAAAAATCCTTAAAGACAATTTGTTTTTCAGGAAGGATAAACAAATTGTCTATAATTACATTAACTATTATAGGAATTAAATAATATGGAAGGAAGTGAAAACTGAAGATGTAACATTTTCTTCACACATATTCACTGTTTCATAAGCCAAGATTTAAAAATGGCAGCACAGAAAAATAAGGTACCAGAAAAGGATATATTAACTAAGCAATCTCTTTAAGATGAGGCTCCAGTAAAAGCCACCAGATTTACTGTATATATTCTGAGTTTCATTTATTTACATAATACTGTTAAATTCACTCTCGATTCATTGGTTTGTTCCAGTGAACAATAAATGGTTTTACAAAACGTTTGTTAAGTAAAGCCTAATAAATTAGATGGAGTTAACCAGCACAATCAAACTATTTCTACAGTCCACGTTTCCCTTTCTTAGCTAGAAGGGTTTTATTTGGTTTCCCAGAGTGATTTACCATAGCAGGATATGGAGAAGGAGTAGGCTGCTGCTGATAGACAGAGCGTATCAAAAGCTGCTGTTGAACGACATGCTGCTGCATTGCTTGCTGATACTGTAATTGAAAAAGAAAATATTTGCATAAATCACAAATGCTGCTCAATCAAGTGAAATTATCCACAAACAAAACTGTTTTGGGCAAAAAAATTTCAGGGGAAGCCACAAAGGAATTCTCAGTAATTGCTTAATCTTTATTGTGAACAAAACAGTCTCAAGATAAACTATTTGGGAGGGGGGGCGGGGGACTGGTGGAGAGGGCTGTCCTTACGCTGAGTTTCATATTCTCTACACTCCATACTCCACTTAAAAATGCTAGAAATAGCAAACACACACATCCCAAATTCAGAGCATTGCTAATCAAAAAGCATTCTGCGAAATGGTGAGGTTACAAGCTTGAAGTTTTAAAGAAAATAGAAAAAGGATTGGGGATTAATAAGGGATTAATTTTGAGGGATTACACATTACAGCTCAACCACAACGTTACCTGCTGCACATATGAATCATGGAGCAATTGTTGTTGTTGCTGTTGCTGATGTAAATGATGCAACTGCTGTAGCCTCCAGTCACCTTGTTGTAGTTGTTGCAATACTCTGTTTTGCTGTGGGGTTCCTGGCGATAATACGCTCTCGTGACCATTTCCAACCTTTGAAGCTCCTAGAATATTTTAAAATGCATATTAAGGAATTTATTTAACAGATGTTTTCCTCATGACTCCAACGGCCCATCCCCAAGCTCCGTAATACTCTTAGCATAGGAATAACAAACCTTTCCTGCTGCACTTTTCTATGGAATATTTTACTTGTTCTGTTTTGTTTATTTCTCCTTCAGCTAAGCCTTGACAAACTCTAACGAACCATTTATATTTTAGGGTATAGGTACAATTTTCAACTTTCCTATCCTAGTAAATTTTACATCTTAATACAGAACATTTTGACCAAAAAATCAAAATCAATTGAACATTTCCTGTAAACGTAACCCTGTTGTTGCTCACTTATTATTTGAAATGTAACATTATCTCCTGAAATATTAACAAGACTACATTTATTTTGGGATGAGTAAACTGTTTGCTACAAAGAATTTTTTAACTAGATGCATTGCTTTTTAAAACAATAACATGTTTTCACAACTCTGTGGTAGCAATTCTCCTCATACTGTGCTAAAATCCCTTTGAGCATAGGGAAAACCAACAATTGTTTGAGTCTTACACATTTATAACTGCTGATGCCTTCTAATTCTGGAATAAAATAACAATGATTTCTACTCGTTACCAAAAGAAGTTCTTTGCAGCTCACTGCATTAGTTTGAGAAATTACCTTTGTGTTCATTGTTAAAATCACCAGGAACTGGCACTTTTACTGGTGTGGCTGAGCTCTGAATTGTAAGTACACTAGAAGTGGCAGTGCTTGTATTGGCCTTTGGTCTCTGACGTGGTGCTATTGAGGTTTCTGTTGGTCCAATGGCATCTGTTATTCTAACGAAAGAAATCAAGAAGGAACTTTGTAATAATATTTTTTAAGCAATGTACAGTATATAATATGGGTGGTAAAAGTGTCTAGGAATTTCACAAATATTACTGAAGTGACAAATACAAGCTTCCCAACTCAGAATGTTTCTAATTTTAATTTAGTTACTTAGTTACTTATGTATTTTATATGCCACACATCTCACAGTTTTAACAACTCTGGGAGTCTTACAGCATAATACAAAGCAATTAAAAATTAAGGTAGACGTATTTGAGTCTTTATTTATTTATAAATAAAGACTCAAAAGCCAAGAGGACTGGCAACACAAGGGTGGGGATCTTTTCTCTAACCCATCAGCCACCCCCTGCATAGACAACCCTATTTGGGCCACAGACCTGCAAGCAGAACCAGGTTTTAAGGCTACTCCAGAAGGCCAGGAGTGTGGGAGGTTGAAATAGGCAGTTGCATCTTATTTGGACTACTGCTGAACACAGAGCTTCCATTAAAAACCACCCAAAAACTATAGCTGGTCCTGAGGCAGAGGTGACTTAATTCCATCTATGTCAAGGGTGTCAAACTCGCAATGGCACATTGTCGTCATGTGACGTATCGCAACTTTCCCCCCCCCTTCACTAAACCAGGGTGGGTGTGGCCAGGGTGTGATGCATCTGGCCCGCAAGTTTAACACCCCTGATCTATGTGATACCTCTACTACACAAACTGCATTGATTGTTCGTTTGCTATTGGCTACAGTTCAAGCATCTATTAAGACCCGCTTGGCTGAGGGTCTGGATATCTACGGGATATCTCTTTCTATCCTTCTGGTAGGACCCAGCAGGATCACAGGTGCCAGAAGCAACAGGACTTCAAAGAGGGCCTTCTCTGTGGCCACCCCTACTTGCTGGAAGTGCATTGCCCAAAGTCCACAACCCTGCTGTCCTTTAAGAAAGCCTTAAAGACCTGGTTTTTTTTTTTTCAACAAGTCGTGAGCAAGGTGTAATTATCTAATTATTACGCCGTTCTCTAAGGTGGGTTCTTAATGATTTTTTGCTTGTGCATTTTAATATCGTTTTCAAAGTATATTTTATTGCACATTGCCTAGAGTTTCTGTGCTGCCTGAGACAGCTTACACACTTCAAACAAATAAAAATAAAACCATCTTTCCCTCTGTGAGACCAAGAAAGTGTGAATGGAAATAAGTGTTTCTTCAAACCATAACCAGCCTATTGTGTCTCAGTGCTGAGCTATGAAAACAAGGAATTACAGTTGAAGGGATAGAATAATCCTTATCACCAGCCCTTGTTTCACAAAAAGAGTATAGTACTCTGGCAAGGGAAGCATAGATAATTTCTTCTCTGTATCCCTTTTCAGCATCGTGTTATATTAATATGTATCATGTTCGGTTAAGAAGGATAGCAAGAGACAAAGAGAACTCTTTACCACTGCTTGTTTTTGTTTTGTTTTTTAAATCTTTTTTACTCTGAACAGTTTGAAAGAGAGTTTTAAAACAGAAAAGTGTTCTGGCTTCTACTCCTAGTCCTTATTATGTGAAAAACACATAAAAACCACAGGTTAGAAACATCTCAATTTAGTTAAAATTACGCAATACACAAACATCTTTATACTTTTTTCTAGGCCTTCAAAATTGTCCTTTGGCAGGCAGTGTGTCCATGTGCGTGCATACACGTGTACTGTATATTTAAGGGCATGTGTGTATATGTATACATAACATTGTATATTTATTCTTCACAATTATCACAAGAGGGCGCCTGTGTAATATGTTCTCTGAAAAAAACATGCAGTAATGACTTGGAATCCTGATTGTACCACTCAAGTTTACCTTCAAATGTACCCTAGTGCAGGGTTCTCCAAACTTGGCAACTTTAAGCCTGGCGGACTTCAACTCCCAGAATTCCTCAGCTGGCTGGGGAATTCTGGGAGTTGAAGTCCTCCAGGCTTAAAGTTGCCAAGGTTGGAGACCCTTGCCCTAGTGTGAGATAATTGAGTTTTTACAAAAAATAAACCATTGCACTAAAAAATGCAAAATCAAATTATTAACAATGGAAACCATTCAAGAGCAAATATTTGATCTTATAAATATACCAGATTATTCTTTAAATGGACAATCCTTGTCTCAACCACCCTTTCTCTCTTCTTACATACATGCAAGAGAACAAGAGGGAAAGGCAGAGGAAAATACGGGAGCTCCAAGATGCCTGGAGCAATACTGTGCTGGTGGGTGAGGAGATAACATGTCTGGACACAGGGATGCATTTAAATACAAGCCTGCTACTCGGCGATGCTAAGGGCAGTGGAGTAGAATTTACTTTCTTCCCCTATTGCATCTGCAGAATGTTCACTGGCTGAAATCATGTCTTCCTACTTTAATGAGTAGCATTTTTATAAATAAAACCAGCCAAAACTTCATCGAATTTGGTAATGTTATCTGGAAAGTTCTAAAACCAGCGGAACTCACAAAAAAAGGCATAGGGTTCCTTGCGGTTTTAGCTCTCCCATTTGTAGATTTGATATCTTCCCTCTCCTGCCAGGTTAAACAGCCAAAAATAAAACGACTGGGGACTTGGATTCAAGGAACTGTCAATGTCTCTCTGTGAGAGGGGTGAATTCTAGCAATCTTAAAAGAGGTTGATCCATCCCCCTCTTAAGAGACCTGGTCTAAATCCATTAGTGTTGGACAGGCTGATGGATATAAATATTTCATCCTATTTGCAACTTTCACATTGAAGAGAAAAGTGGTGCAGCAACCTATTTGACCACTACTATATGTTCTAAAGTGGACAGATTCAACATCACTCACAATGGAGGAATGATTGTGAAGGGAATGGAACTTGCAGGAAAAGGCTAAGTTGACCATGGGAAAAAAAACCAAAACACTATCTACATTTAGGTCTGTCTGAAAATCCCCTTGTAGACTTTTTTGTATGGCACAGAAAAAAAATGCAAATGATTTGTGGTTTTGAAGATTAGGAAAAAATAGATAAAAAGTGAGCTTTTCTTTTTTGTAGCCACAAAGTAAGAGGTCACTTTGTAATCATACCTGTGTTTGCTGGAAAGAAAACTGTAAGTTTCACGAGAGCAAAACCCACCCCCTTCTGGCACTGATGAGGTTACCTAGTTTGGTAATGAAATGTCTGCAAGAGGACAGCCAAGCTCAAAGAGCACCAAGCACCAAGGACACTTCAACCTCTAGCTACAAATATTCTTTTCTCTTTCTAATCTTTTTTTTCCTGCACCTTTTTCTTTTTTCTTCTTTCCTTTATATTAGTTTTTGTTTACTTGAATACGCTCTTTAAAACTTGTAATATAATTAATATTAAAAAAAAAAAAGAAAGTAGCGGAGCAACAAAAACATTCTGGAAGAAGCGTATTATCCAGAACCATCACAGTGTAGATTCAAGTCAAGACGGAGGGAGCGTGGCCGTCTTCATTTTATGGGACTATCTGGCAACCTTTGGCACGGTTAGCTACACCCTCCTCCTTCAGGGCCACCTACAAGGATGAAAGCGCTACAATAATGACAACATTGTTCCTGAGTGGGCAGGTTCTGACTATCAATTGTTGTAGAAGAGAAGGGGGGTCAATTCATGATGGGGGATTCTGGGCATTTCCTTCATCCCTTTTAAAATCTACATGAAGCCAGTGGGAAATGGGCAGTGCAGGGGAAGGATGATATGTGGAGAAACCAGCTTGGTTTCAACCCAAGAAAGAGCCAAGTGGCTAAAAATGCTGACCACTGTCTTGTACCAATCCTGATTCTGAATAGAACTATGTTCTACATGGAACTAGGAGCTTTCCTGGACTCACAGCACTGCCAGGGGAAATTGTGTTCAAGGAGGGAGCATCTATGGCCACAAGACAAAGCTCTGCATAACGGAGTTTAATAGTATGCCAAAAAGTGCACTGAATTATTAATACAGTTATTGCACTCACCTAGCTTTTATTTGGCTTTTCTTAGCAGCAGCCTCACTAGCTGTCAATGGCTCAGGAAGAGTTGAAGGGAGAGGAGAATTCTTGGAGAAAATAAGTGAGCAGGTTATTAATAGCTTTTTTAAAAAAATAGTAATAGAAAAATTTTTATATCACACCAACTTGAACATAATCACATTGCATACCAACAATAAAAAAGAGACCCATATGCAGTATTATCCATTCCATTTGGAGAACTGGGGATGCAGCCTCCTTGTGAGGTTTCAGAAGATCTCCGAAACCTTCTAAAACAGGGGTGTCAAACTCAATTTCATTGAGGGCCACATCAGGATTATGTTTGACCTTGGGGGGGGGCAGGGTGTGTGTGACCAGGATGTGTGTGGCCAGCTTGACATCACTCATGTCAGGGGCGCCTGTGGCGGCCAAGAACTCTGCCCGCAAAAACGGGCTCCCGTGCTCCGCTTTCGGCTGTGATTGCCTCCCGCAACCCTCTGCCAGAGAAAATGGAGCTCGGGAGGTCTTGGGAGCTCCATTTTTTATGGTAGAGGTACTGCAGACCAGTTCTTTGCTGTTTCGAGGGCAGCCCCACAGGCCAGATCTAAGCACCCCGCAGGCCGAATCCAGCCTGAGGCCCTTGAGAATTTGACATCCCTGTTCTAAAGTATCACAAGAACACTATGTGCTATTTGAAGAATGACATAACCAGATTTGGGGAACAGCTATGGTGTGGCTACAAGCTGTGTCATATAAGGAAAGGCCAGACACCCCTCATCAACAGTGGAAAGAAGACGGCGAAAGTCACCTGAGAGCAGCAAGGCTTGCAGAATGCAGGACCACGGAGGTGGCTTTATGATCACATTGCTTAGTGATCATAGAAATTCCAGTCCCAATTACCGTTGTAAATCCAAAGATCACCTGTACAGTAGTATTCCGCATTTTTAACTTTATTTTTGTTGTTAAGAAACAAGGCCAGGTGAATAGCTCTTAACTTGGTCAATTATTTAATGACACAAGCATATCTTGGAAATGAGGCCAGGAAGTAGTATGTCAAATGCATTAAAAATGCATATTGCATTTGCTACGATCAATACAAGCATACATTATCTTATTCAGTAACTTCTAAAAATAAACTCTTCCCTTGTCAATACTACATTTGTTAAAAGTTAATGGGATTTTTTTTTCAACAGAGGAAGATGAATTAATATTTTTTAAAGCAAACCTGATTACCAAACCCAATAAGCAAACCTTATTATTCTGAACAAGATGTACTATGTCAAAACAGGCACAAATATAAATGTGCTTACATTCATGTTTAAAATTGGACAGTCCTTTTTGGCAAGTTTAAAGGCAAAATAAGATACTTGAAAGATATCAGGTCTTCGCTCTTGATCTGGTTCAAGCATGTATCCTGTTGAGTACAGCAAATTAAATTATTAACATAAAAGTGAGAAGTCATTAAGGCAACCAAGTCTATTAAGAGTGAATAATTGATTTTATAGTTACCTCTGAGTTCTAATTACATTACTTTTTACAGATAAAAGAAGTATCATAGCAAGGTATGGGTGTTAAGAGAATCGAGTGACTGGATTGATTCCTCTTAATTGTCATTACAATATTTTATGTAATATTCTTACATCTATCCACACATTACACTGTGAACTTTGTACCAGTTTTACAAGAAAGCTACAGGATTGTTTTCTTTATAAATTAGATTTGGCTAATTTCATGCCTTCATAGCAGCTAAATTATTCTAAACTGCCTCAAAAAATTATTTTAATCACCATTTGGCACCACTGTAAATTTTATTTCAGGCCTAATTTATGGTACCAATTTTAACTTTCCACACCCATAAACTACCAAGGCTAGGTATTTTTGACTGCTGTATCTCCTATTTTGTCATTCTCGGGCAATTAAAACATCACATCAATTCTGCCTGGAAAATCATCATAATGTATATTTGATGAAGCAACTTTCCCTGAGATTCTTTACTTCTTAACCCTATTATTTTTTAGCTTCCAAAACTAGTCTCGTCTGTACTGGCCAGGATTAAGCTACAGATAATCAAAAATTTTAGTACCATTCCCTGCATAAACACTCTAGTAGGTGAATGTTTTTTTAGTTTGAAAACAAAGTGAGCCTACACAAAAATGAAGTATCACTTTTCATATATCTGTAATTTTTTCAGTTTATAAATTAATTGCATTTTTTTAAAAAGAAAAGTGGCTTGATAGGGATCAGAGAACTTTCTAAACTTATTTTATGGGTGGCAATCAATCATGTACAAAAGATTACATTAACTACGGTAAGCCATTGTTCAGAATTAGCAATGCTGTCATAAAATGTCAAAATAAATTTAGAGAGCCAAAAGAACGCTGCTATTCCAATATACCTAAAATTACAAATCTGTATTTTTTTTTTCTATTTATATTTGCAACAATAACTTTCCCTAAAAAGGGAGGGGGAAGAGAAAAGAAGGTATTAACAGGAATCAGAAGTCTGATTACACACAAATAGCCATTGAAATCTAAGTATAATAAATTAGGACTACCTATAACAGATTTCTAAATGTAGAACTTTATCCAATTAAAGAACGGAGCCTTTGGATACATTAATTTCTTTTTAAAAAGTCGTGATAGTAACATGTTCTGCCTACATGTAGCAATTTAGTTTCACATAGACAATTTAGTTGATAAAATGTACCAATTACTTACTTATCAAACAATGCATACTGTGAGAATAACGTGAATTGTCTGGGATGGTAAAGCTTCCATCACAAATAGCAACCTGACTCTCACCAAAGGGAAGTGTGAAAAAGCAAAGTTTATACAGCAAGCAGCCAAGGGCCTGTTAAAAGAAAGGACATCATTATAGTATTAACTGAACTATAAACAGCAGACTCTACTTCAAAAGTTGCAATAAGTTTTGTTATCACAATTTCATATTGAACATATTGAACAATTGCTAGATATAATAATAAAACTTTTAAAACATGTTGTGTTACTAAGATAATTTACTAAAATAATTATTTAGCAGCAACTTTTCCTAAACTATAATTCTGTCAAATTTGTTCATTTTAAAAATACTTTTCTTGATTTTTTGCTGCTTGTGGCATAATGACAATTTATTCTGACGGTTATTTATTTTACCTCTACATCTTCAAAGTACACTTGTTCTAGTAAAAGTGCTATTGTAGTAAATAGTTTCCAAATGTTATGGATTAAATCCAATCAACTGTTTCTCTAAATTTAGTCATTAGAACAAATAAATAAATAAATAAATAAGATTCTTTTAAAATTATGTTCTACATTGAATTTGGCAGATTAAAAATGTCACCCATTTCATTTTTATCAATTGTCTAGATATGAGTTGGATTCAGACATTTATACGCAGCAGACTCACTGAAATTAAGAAAGATAACAGTAAACCTGAGTCTGGCTACTTCTAGATTCCTGTGATATAGTGATTTGGTCAGCACCTTTCTTCTTAATTCTTACAAAACTGTTTACCTTACCCAGATATCTGCCTTGGTTGTAATTGTTTTCCCTCCATAAAGGTTGATCATTTCAGGAGCTCTATATGACAATGTGGTATACCTTAAGGCAAATAATTTAGGATAAAAGTTAATCAAGTACAAATATGACTAGTGTAAACTGTTTTACAAACCCAAACTAGACAGCTATTGCACTCATAAAAGTACTTTAACATAGGGTGTTATTTATTTCATTTTTTAAAAAAATGATGGCACTCATTTTTCTCAGGGTGGTTGATAAAGAAATCAGACCTGGATATGCACATAAAATGTCTTGATTACTGATGGTTTGGCTTAGTTTTTTGCAACTGAGGGGTGCACACACAATAGCAAAGAGCAAAGGCACTCCACACAGACAGCAGAAGGAAAGGGATGCCAAAGGTCAGCTGGGGGCAGCAAGAGTGGCGGGGGGGGGGTCACAGAACCCAGAGTGGCCAAAGGGGCAGAGATGGCGGAGAGAAGCGGGGGGGTGGGGTGGGGGGGTGGATAGTTGAAGTGCATGCTGGAATTGTAAATGCAGACAAGTGCTTCAGTGGCTGTAACTCTGAAAAACAAAGCTATTTGTTTAGCACCACTGTAATTTCAAATGGCCATTGAATGGTCATTAAATGAGGGCTACCTATAACAGATTTCTAAATGTAGAAATTCATCCAATTAAAGAACAGAGCCTTTGGATACAGTGGTGTATTAGCCATTAAGCAGACTAAGCACCAAGCTCAAAGGGGGCACCACAAAAACTTCTACATAGTTTGTCAGTGCTTAGGGCACCAGTGAGACTTAATCTGCCACTGTTTGGATACGTTATTTCTTTTTAAAACATCGTGATATTAAAGCAGACACTGAGATTTCCAAACATTCTAAAGGTGCATTTTGTTATTGTTAAGATGCAGAAAACTACTCCCTTAAGATGTGCAACTTAATTAATATTAATGCAATATCAGGTTTTCAGTTCAATTGTATAGAATGTGAAGGATGTGTGCTTGTGTTTTATTGTTACACTTACAATGTACATTGAAGATGGCGATTAATTTCATTGTACAAGGTGCAATGACAATAAAGTAAAGTAAACTAAACTTACTTTTTAATTTCTTCTTCAACTCCGCTGACTCCATCTTTCTGAGGGTTAAGGAATTTATTAGTGGCACTGCCAAAGTCACAAAGGACATAGTTCCCACTATCATTCAATAAAAGGTTTTCAACCTAAAAGAAAACAAACATCGATTTACAACAAAAACACACACAAACACCAAATATAGTTCTAATAATTTTCAAGCACTTTCACTTAGCTGCTTGAGTTAGAATGAAGAACTAAATATTATTATTACTTTAATTCCCCCAAGTAAAGATTTATACACTGTATTATAACATGCACTAAAGTCCACACCGCAAGAGTAAAGCTCCATATATAATAGAGTTAACAAGCAGCTTGCAATCAGCTTGCCAAACATTCTGCCCCCAAAAGAAATGAAGAAGACTGGCTATGTATCAGGAGGCAGATCTTTTCAGTAGAAGTCCTTACCGAATGTGCTCCTCCTGGAAGCCTGGTTCCCCCCTCTATCCTACATGTTCTTAGAATGCTATCCTTTCTCAGCACTACTTCAGAACGTCCAGCTGTTCACCTAGTATCATTATTATTATTATTCTAATTTATTGAAATTATTGTACTGTTGAACTACTGAGATGCATGCTACCCAAAGTCAATACGATTTGGGCAGTTTATGAATTTTTGTAAGTAAATGGAGGGAGATACAGTGGTAGATACAAACTTAAAATAACTAGGAATGTCCTGACTACAAGAACTATTAACCAGTGAAACAGCCTGTCTTCTGAAGTCATGGATGCCTTGTTATTGAAGGTTTCCAAACAATGTTGGACAGTATGGGATGACATAAGGATTCCTGCCGTGGGCAGAGAGGACATGATTAGAGGGCCTCCAAGGTCCATTCCAAATTATATTATTCTATGAAATAAAATAAATATTGAATAGCAATTTCCACAAACCACATCCAGCCTGCGGCTGTGCTTTAGAAAGTACAAGTTGGTCTACTTCTGTTATTTATTAATCTGTTTGAACACAGTTTAATATCTGTGTCCCTATATATAAGCTCTTAACTAGCCTCCTCCTTACTAAAGATAATACCTTTATACTTATCAAAGACACTGCAATGCTATTATCTAAGTTTAGCTGCCCAAATAGTATGTCCTACATGTGCATGTTTTAAGTGCATTGTGATCTACTCAAGAACATAAGAGAGAATTAAGAGCAGTGTATAACACCAAAAACATAAAATTATAGCAAGTCAAAATAACTTAAGTCTTTTGTTTTCACATGATCTCAAACTCAAAAACTGCAGAAGAGCCAGTTAAACAAATCAAATCAGTAGAGATTCTAAGATTAAAGTTTAGGTTATGGATTATTTACAAAGATTAGAAGTGCATGTATGCATCTGTATATGTTCTTTAATGCTTGTTGACTGTGGGACTTTCCAAGTAACTCTGAAACTGTTTACAAGATTGTTATATAGAATTTGAGGAGATTTCACAGTGTTGTTTCAGCTTACAGAAGACTAAATTGTGAGTTTAGAGAAGGAAGGGAAGAAGCATTTTCACATGTGTTGCTCAGCATCTGACAGGGTTGGTGCTGAATGCAGTTCATATGTGCGTGGAGAGGATACTTGATACTACCACAGTACATAAAGAAGAATTTACTAACAATAAGAGGCCTTGAATAGCCTGACTCAGAAAGTGGTAAATTAGAGTGGGAAAAAAGGGCAGGATGCCATAGGTTTCATAATGTATTCTTGCTGGAACAGATTACCTCTACAATCCCTTCCAACCAGAGGTGGACTTCAAAAACTTTAGCAATCGGTTCTCTGCCCGGATGCTAGGTGGGCGTGGCCATGGCGGGTGTGGCCTATTCGGCTTCCTGCACCACGGTGGGAGGGGTCATTTTCACCCTCTCCGAGCTCCAGAGGCTTTCCTCAAGCCTCTGGGAAGGCAAAAATGGCTTCCCTGGGTTCGAGGTTTAAAATATAAGCTATAGCTATTTCAGAATTTCTCTGAATAGCACTGTTTAACAGTAAACCCACAAATATAATCATACCCAATTTATTATCAATTTGGCTTCCAATCTATTAAACTACTGAAGAAAGGAATCAGGGTTTAAGTTAAAGTTTGCTGTAAGATAAATAAAATAAAATAAAATCTTATCCCATAAGTAATCCATTACAGTAAACCCAAAATTTTCAAGCATTTTACACAAAAAGGACATACCTGAAACAAGTGGTAAATAATGATTATAGTATTTCCACAAGACTTCCCTAATTAATATTACTACCTGTTTCAAAACAGCAGTTCAAACTATTCTTTCTTTTCGACCTCCATTCAACTGAACTTCCAGCTCAACTTAAGGAGCCAGGATGAAAAAGAAATAATTATTCTAAGATAATTTCTTAGATCTCATCCAGCAAGTTGAGCATAGTCTCAAACCAAACCAACCAAAAAGGATGTAATAACAGGGTTTTTTAAAGGCACCATCTATCTCAACTTGATTAAGACTCTGAACTTAGAAAGAAAACATGGCTATACTGAGACTCTATTTGTTTGTTTGAAACATTTATATAGTCATCCATTTTATACAAGAATTAAAATATTGATAGTAAAAGCTAAAAAACTGTATTAAATAATGCCATAAGCAGATTAAGGCAAAGATAATGAATGAATAAATAAACTAATCCATATAATTATTCATTCATAGACAGGAACAGCATGGATTTCAGTCACAATTTTTCTCACCTTCAAATCTCTATGAACAATGGGAGTTTTGCATTGGTGCAGCCTAGCAACAGCTTCACAGGCATCACAAAAAATTCTTAGCACTTCTGATTCAGTAAAGCCCGTTTGTAATCTCTGGTTCATCTGATTCACTATTTGCCCAGCTAGAGAGAAGGAATAAAAATAATACATAGCAGACTGGATTCAATTCTGTAAGATTGGAAACATTAAATATTCAAAACCCTGAAATACTTAACACAATGCTGCTTTTCAAAATAAAAGTTTAGATGTCATCTATTATTTATCAGAGATAAATACTAAGAATACAGTTAATGTAAGCATTTCATAATAACAAATTGAATCAAAATATTTTTATTTAATTTTAAATGGCAAATTAGCCGGATAAAAATAAGTCTCAGTTTAGGGATAATAAACTGCAGTCCAAGCATAAATAACAAAATTAATTGCACTGCATTGGAGAAAGTATCTTCTGCAGATCAACCTAAAATACTGATTCTAAATGAAATGTGCTCTGAATATTTCATATAGCCCTAACATATGAGTGATCACTGTCGTTTTTGTACCATTTTTGCTTTCTAACAAGAAGCAACAAAATGGAGGAACATTAGCAAATAAGGCTGGCTGTGGATAGTCTATTTCACCTTGCAGTAACTATCTCCAAAGCTGCTATAATTTTGTCCAAAACACTGCATGCTAGCCAACTATTTTTGTTATAAAGATGACAAAAAATGTACTTACCGCGACAATATTCCATTAAGATAAGCACTTCCCACACATTATCACTAACAGAATTGACAGCACAATCCAAATACCCTACAATGTTCTTGTGCCCAGACAGTTCTTTCTGTAAAAAAGAGAAACATTCTTAAGTATAAAGAAAAAAAAAGAATACGCTAACTTTTAATTCTACTGCAAATTTTCATTCAATGCAAACTATTAATCATCAGTTAGTTATTTTATGATGTATTAGACATTTTATAAGTATCCATTTCTTGTTATTATCTTGAATACAGAATCTCACCAATGTACTATCTGGAAAAGTTTAATCTCTTCTAAATAAACCTATGAAACTCTTTTTGTGTTTTCTATTACTGGCTTAGAATCATTAAATTATTTAAAGCTTATTCAATATGATCTGGCAAACAAAACATGAGTTTGAGGTTTTATATAGAAAGCCAGGTTAAAGGGGAAACAAGTTGGATAAATATTAAAGCTTTTATACAAATTAAACTGTATTTCCTATATTCTTTTTGAAAGTGATCTATTAGTTAGGAATGCACAGCATTTCAAAATTGACTCCGGAGAGATGTTTAAAAGTACACTGCTCAAAAAAATAAAGGGAATACAAAAATAAGACATCCTAGATCTGAATGAATGAAATATTCTTATTAAATACTTTGTTCATTACATAGTTGAATGTGCTGACAACAAAATCACACAAAAATTATCAATGGAAATCAAATTTAGCAACTCATGGAGGTCTGGATTTGGAGTTACACTCAAAATTAAAGTGGAAAATAACACTACAGGCTGATCCAACTTTGATGTAATGTCCTTAAAACAAGTCAAAATGAGGCTCAGTAGTGTGTGTGGCCTCCACGTGCCTGTATGGCCTCCCTATAATGCCTGGGCATGCTCCTGATGAGGTGGCAGATGGTCTCCTGAGGGATCTCCTCCCACACCTGGACTAGAGCATCGCCCAACTCCTGGACAGTCTGTGGTGCAATGTGGCATTGGTGGATGGAGCAAGACATGATGTCCCAGATGTGCTCAACTGAATTCAGGTCTGGGGAACGGGCGGGCCAGTCCATAGCATCAACGCCTTTGTCTTGCAGGAACTGCTGACACACTCCAGCCACATGAGTTCTAGCATTGTCTTGCATTAGGAGGAACCCAGGGCCAACTGCACCAGCATATGGTCTCACAAGGGGTCTGAGGATCTCATCTCGGTACCTAATAGTAGTCAGGCTACCTCTGGCGAGCACATGGAGGGCTGCGCAGCCCCCTAAAGAAATGCTACCCCACACCATTACTGACCTACTGCCAAACCAGTCATGCTGGAGGATGTTGCGGGCAGAAGAACATTCTCTACAGCATCTCCAGACCCTGTCACGTGTGCTCAGTGTGAAGCTGCTTTCATCTGTGAAGAGCAGGGCACCAGTGGCGAATTTGACAATCTTGGTGTTCTCTGGCAAATGCCAAACGTCCTGCACGGTGTTGGGCTGTAAGCACAACCCCCACCTGTGGATGTCGGGCCCTCATACCACCCTCATGGAGTCTGTTTCTGACAGTTTGAGCAGCCACATGCACATTTGTGTCCCGCTGGAGGTCATTTTTCAGGGCTCTGGCAGTGCTCCTCTTGTCTCTCCTTGCACAAAGGAGGAGGTAGCGGTCCTGATGCTGGGTTGTTGCCCTCCTACAGCCTCCTCCACGTCTCCTGATGTACTGGCCTGTCTCTTGGTTGCACTTCCATGCTCTGGACACTACACTGACAGACACAGCAAACCTTCTTGCCACAGCTTGCATTGATATGCCATCTTGGATGAGCTGCACTACCCGAGCCACTTGTGTGGGTTGTAGACTCCGTCTCATGCTACCACTGGAGTGAAAGCACCACCAGCATTCAAACGTGACCAAACCATCAGCCAGAAAGCATAGGAACTGAGAAATGGTCTGTGGTCACCACCTGCAGAACCACTCCTTTATTGGGGATGTCTTGCTAACTGCCTATGCTTTCCACCTGTTGTCTATTCCATTTGCACAACAGCATGTGAAATTGATTGTCAGTGTTGCTACCTAAGTGGACAGTTTGATTTCACAGAAGTGTGATTAACTTGGAGTTACATTGTGTTGTTTAAGTGTTACCTTTATTTTTTTGAGCAGTGTACATTCAAGCACAGTGTACCTATCTTCTATTTGTAGAACTCTACAGTTCTACAAATGCAAATTGTCCAACCCTCCCAGATAACACTAACTGTTGAAATGAAATGTGGAATGCTACAACCCACAAATAAACTATTTTTACAATAAACTGTATTTCTATAATTTAACCACAGTGATTTCGTCATATCAAAGAACCACATTTCAACACAATGAAAACAAATTCGAACATTAGCTTACAGACTAATGCATCATTTCTAAACTATACACACCCATTATACACACCCACATATATATACTGTACATACAACACAAAACTTATATCAACTTACCATTATTGTTATTTCCCTTTTGCAGATATTGAGGTCAGGCACATTATTTACATACATTCTTTTCAATGCACATCGAACTCCACCATGAGTACGCACAAGAAGTACCGTGGAAAAGCCACCTAGAAGAACAATAGTGCTATGAATAAGTTCATCTTTTTAATATTAAGAAGCTAAAAGTTTATTTCCTAAAAAATAATTCAAATGATTACTGATATTCTTGAATGCTTCCATTTCATAGAACTACGTGAAAAACTGCAAACAGAATTATGCAGTAAAGGACAAATGCCCATTATTTTCACATTTCAGAAATTTGTTTATTTAGAAAGAAGGAATTAGGTTGAAGCAGTCTGATGAATCCAAACTTGGAAAACCAACGTATCAAAATAATCAAAGAAGGAAATTTTATTCAAAAAGTAACTATTACTGTAAATTCCGCTACTTCACAGAAACTTCTGCAAACATGCTGTGAAATATCAGAACTTTTGTTTCACAGAATGGTTTATACAGGGGCAAACAGTTTTAGAAACATTTAATGACACAGCTGAAGTTAATACAAACTAGAAAAACAAATTTCATATGAAATCCTGATATAGCATACTCAACAACTTTAAGTTTGAAATTTTTGTTCTACAATACAGCTTTTATATAATTACCAGTTTTAAATATTTATCTAGTTCAATATTCCTTATAAACCACCTTTTAAATACTTCTTCCAGTTTTCTCGCCATCAAAAGCAAATCCTTTCTGAATTTAACCTTAATGTTTTCTTAACTGTAAATCATCCATAGTCATCTAAGCGAGACAGGCTGTGTAGAAATGCGATAAACGGGATGGATGGATACATGGAGTTCCCGAGATATCATATCACTTACAAGATGAGCAACGTCTCATGACTCACTTTGAAGTTACAGCGATTCTGAACAAAAGGACTTACAACCGGTGCTCAAAGTTACGGCCATTAGTGTCCCCACTGTCACATGATCAAAATTTGGGCACGGTCCACTCACACTTTATGATTGCAGGGGTGCTGCCACTCCCCCTCATTTGCCAATCTAACCCCAATCTATGCCCTTTTGGCTCCTTGCACTCCATGCCCCAACATCCTATCTGACTTTTATCATCTTCTTGCTCTCACTACTGACCAAGCATGCGCGCACTGTCTGGTCCTCCGCAAGGCAGCTGTTGGCCACATGAGGTTTGCTTCCCGAGGCTGCACAGGTGGTTTCCTTGCAAGACCTGGAAAAGAGGACCTCTCGTGGTTTCCTTACAAAAGGGCATGATTTCTCAGCAGCAGGAGGAAGAAAACAACAAAGCTCATACAGGATAGCGGAGCACATGGTGGGTAGGGGTCTCAAAGTGCAAGGTGATGGTAACAATTGCAGGTGGGACTGGGCTGACTGTGGACAGCCATACCCGATACTTCTGCCTCCTATTTGCACCACATTAACAACCCGGTTAGGTGGGTAGGACTAAGAGGCAGTGACTGGCCCAAAATCACCCAGCCGGCTTTCATGACTAAGGAAAGCCTAGACTTCTGGTCAGCATCTTAAACACTGTACACCAAACTGGCTGTCATTTCGTGACATGTGTCAGAATGCAGATTATATTAACACTAACACATATGCTAAAACACCTAATTATTCGTCAAAAGAACTTTTGCAATAAACAGTAGCTTTTCTAAGAACTGACTCTGTAGCAAAGGAATAGTCCAGCAGCACAGAAGACTGAATATTTCAAGGTTATATGTTCTCCCATAGCGTTTCAATTTAAACGACCAATACTGTATATATATATTTTTTTAAAAAACCTGGGTCACTATTTTCATCATCACTGAGAAACCAACAAGTTTCTATTAAAGTCTGAAACTACCGAAGCACAGATTCAAGCAAGTATTTTTTGCCATTAGATGGCAACATATCCAAACACCTTTTAAATCTATCACTGTTCCAGATAGTAAACTGTAATAACCTAAAGAATGTCACTGTACTGATGTTTGATTATTTCCAACACTGTATTTATTCAAGATTTTTTATGATTGATAGACCAATTGTGTATAGAATTATATAAGAAAAGTTGTTGACTAGATAAAAGCAAAATGTGAGAATAAGACTTGCAAGTCTTCTATTCCACAAAAGTAGTCACTAAGCATCTGCGGGCATGTTCATAGCCTTAAACTCTTATCACTGTAAAACCTTGTCAAAAATGCCATGTTTTATGTAGGAAGCACATAACCCCCTTAAATATACTTAAAATATTGGTTAAGTCTACTTAGATTTTACACACGAAGTATGCCACCCTCTCCCTAGCTACTGCTTACTCCATAACAAATTCTGAGACTATGCTATTTAAAGCTCCTATATTTTTAAGAGATTCTTTTTATTAAATATCTTTACAGCAACAAACCGTGCTTTGCAGAACTTCAACTTTAAAGGCAAAAAAGTGTTTCAGTGTATGTGGGGATTCAAAAATTGCATCTCTCTGCAACTTCTTCTGTTCTTCTATAATCAAGCACAAGTAGAAGTGTGATCTGGAGGGGGAAAAAGCACCTGAGTTGCAGACAGGTGCTACATTCCAGACAATCTGAAGAATATTTTGCACCACACAGCCTTAGAAACAGCCAAAGCACCAATATGTTTTATTCCCATTCCAAATGAAGTTTCAGGGAGATTCAGTTAACTAAAACTAGCCCCATTAGAGTGACCCTAGCAAACAAGTTTCAAAAACTCAACAGTGGGATTTTGAAACTGCATTCCACAGAAATATGGATTATTGAGAAATATTTTTCTCCAGAACTCCAGGGTTCAAAAGAGTGCAGAGAAACATTTCGAAGGGACCAAGAGAAAAAGGATATGAAACTCAATCTTCAACTTACTTTTTAGGAGTGTCCATAACAATTTTATTATGTAGAGATTTTTTTTCCTTTATTGTTTTTAATTCTCGCTAAAGTTGGGTGGAGGAACCTCTTCACAACAAACAGTGGAGGGCGGGGGAAAGTCATTTCTACATGAAACTACAGTATGCCTTTTTTTCTTGGTTCCTTGCAGAGAGTTTCCCCCCGTTAATTCTATTGGACCCATTTAAGTCCTTGTAGAATCCTAGTTTTCACAGCCTAAAAAAAATTTGAACACATTTTCTTCACATTAAGATTATATGGTATTTCAGATAAGATTCCAAAAAGTTGCTTTGGAGCAGACTGGAATGGGAATAAAGCACCTATCTGCAACCTTTTAAAACAGATGCCTCTCCTTCTGAAATGGCGTGGCTATCACGCAATCCCAGAAACAACGCAAGACAGAAGTCAGTTGTGTATTTTAAAACACTTTTTTGAATCAAAGCTAAATCCTACATACAGTACAGTATATTTAGAGTACAATGCAGAGATCATGGACAAGTCTCTGCAGCTTTCTTGGGAAGGGTTTTCCAAAGTGGTTTGTCACAGCCTCCTTCCTAGGGCTGAGAGAAAGTGACTGGCCCAAGGTCATTCAGATGGCGCAAGGTGGCACTAGAACTCACAGTCTCCCTGTTTCTAGCTTGAAGCTTCAACTACTACTGCAAACAGGCATTGTCAGAAGGAGCTTATAAATGCTAGTAAATTCAAGCCATATCGACATTTTTTCTGTCTATAAAGAATTATAGGAATTTCACATCCTAAAATTTATTGATCACCCACCCACCCTCACCAGTGTTTTCTCATCAATGCTGCATTCCAAAATAATTCCTGTGTATACAGTTTCTAAAGAAGTAACTATTTATCGTTAGATCTTTTACAGAAAGAAGGGACTTACAGAGCTTTAATAGACTAAGTTTTATTTTATTTGAATTTTTGTTATCAGAAGTCCACCTTATGTGTGGTGGGTTCCAATGCATAAAATTTTATAACATAATACAGTTGTTAAAATGTAACATAGCGTGTAGTTTTCAAAAGTGAATAGATTCTAAATCTTTCAACTTATATCTTCCTTCTTTTCATGTGAGTCCCCAGTTTCTTTAATTTTGCTACCTTAATTCACTTAATTTACATTTTTGAAAAACTGGAAAAGTTAGTTTGGCAAAAAGGCATTTTTCAAAATCTTACACTACGTTTTTCTTTTTATATTAAAATGTATAGTATACAAATTCCTCAAAAGGGCTAGCCCCTGAAAACAGAACAACATTAAAATCATTTTAAAATACAAAAAGAACTTTAAAAATTCAGAATACTCGTATGGAATTCTCTTTTCCCAGAGAAGATGCCTCACCCACTCTCTTGGGCTTTTATAAGCTATTCAAAATGGTCTTACTCTACTGTGTCTTTGACCCAAATTGAATGGGGGCATCACTCTAGTTTTTAAAAGGAATGTTAATTGTTTAGTTGTCTTGTTATTTTTTTTAGCACTCACTGACAGAGTCCACTGGAATTGGGGCAGCTTAGAAATGCTGCAGATTGAATGTGTTACTGTCAAGCAGACAGAAATCACAGAGTAAAATGTAGGCTGCAGCTTTCCTAAACAGGAAGGTCCTTGCCCCCAGCAAAAGATGGCCTCAAAAAATGCAACTGTGTCTCCGAGGGAAGAGGGTTCCATCATTTAAGAGTACTCATAAGTTATTTTCCCTTTATCTCCACTATAACTCCACAATAATTGGGGACACAGGGAAGGGCCAGTCCAGTCAGATCTTAAGCTGCAGAAACACTGACATGGACAAAGCAGCCTCTGTGTAGAGAGTGCAGAAAATGGTCTTGATGGAGACAGGGCAAAGCAATGATCATGCAAACTTAGTTACTCCAATACAAAGATATTTAGAAAACATTTAAAATAGGCACTTCCCTAATTCATTTGAAGACAAAAGGACAAGGAGAAGCACACTGAAACTTGCAAGTTTCTGTTACTGTTGTACAGCCATTCTAATAAAATCAGTTTTAGGCCTAAGTGACATCTGTTTGTTGATCTGGATTACCTTATAAGACTGACGCTCTACAATGTCATGAAGTCCTGAACTATGCTAGAAACAAAACTAGTCATGAATACAATCCTCACGGGGCAATGTGATCTTGCCGCTGAAAATCCATTAAAATTCTCACTGCCATAGTATGAATCAATCATAGTTTACAAAGATTCTTCAAAGATTGTTAACCATTTTT